CTTCTAGGGTTGCCAACTCCCTGAAAAATAAATAAGGGACACATCGTGGCCAGGGCCGGGCAACCCAGTTGTCTTCACCCTTCCCAGTGTGGTAGCTCTTTTTTTTGTGTGTGAAATTATTTTTTAACCATTTGACTTGAATTTGATTTAAGCAGATGCATATTCTTTGTGATATGACCATATGGGAAACAAATGATCATTTAGCCATTTATTTTTAGCTCAAAATGACAACATTAACACAGTAAAACAGGTCTCTTTCTTAAACAGAAGCCTGTCATGCTTAACTTTTGAGAATATAAGTAAATCTTTCTTTAAAAGAACTCTGTCCTGCTTAACTTAAAATTATATAAATTAATAGAAAGCAATAGAACAAAAATATTCTTGTAACAGTGCACATACAGTGGGGCAAAAGAGTATTTAGTCAGCCACCGATTGTGCAAGTTCCCCCACTTAAAATGATGACTGAGGTCAGTAATTTGCACCAGAGGTACACTTCAACTGTGAGAGACAGAATGTGAAAAAAAATCCATGAATCCACATGGTAGGATTTGTAAAGAATTTATTCGTAAATCAGGGTGGAAAATAAGTATTTGGTCACCTCAAACAAGGAAAATCTCTGGCTCTCACAGACCTGTAACGTCTTCCGTAAGAAGCTTTTCTGTCCCCCACTCGTTACCTGTATGAATGGCACCTGTTTGAACTCATCATCTGTATAAAAGACACCTGTCCACTAGGGGTGCAACGATACACGAAATTCACGGTTCGGTTCGGTTCGATACTTTGGTGTCACGGTTCGATATTTTTTCGATACAAAAAAATGTTCATGCCTTTTTAATTTGTCATTTATTAAAATTATAAATATATATTTTAACTCAAAAGTACAGTTTTTAAATTTAACCCTAACCCTTGTGCGTGTTTTTTATTTTGACAGCGAATGCGCACCTGCGGACCACTTATGTGCAGCCCTGGTTATTTAGCTCGTCATATTGCAGCCACAGAAATTCTTTTGTCCATGAAACCATAAAGCTGCACTTTCTTTTTGCCTTATAGTCTGATTTGTCATAACTTCTCCGTTTTGTGGTAAGCTTTTCTTTGGCTGTCACTTCTTCACCCTGACCTGTCTTATTTGGCTCAGAAGAAATGAAATATATATCCTCCTGCTTTACGCACTCACATAAGCTCAGCGATTCTCTGCACGATCAACCTCTCACATGTTTAAGCTTGCTGCGGGAGATTTCACTTGTCATGTTTGCATAGTGAGCTAACGATTAATAAGACGATGTCAGAGGAATTGGTGCACAAATTATCATCACTCACAGATCAGTGCTGTCGCTCTCTATACACAGTTCGCACAATTGCAAAGTGAAAGCAAAGAAACAAGCGCAAATTCAAACGCGATTTCAATATGTCACATATTGACAGTGGCTCACCGATGCCAATGACATAATTACCCAGCTACATTTCTGAAAGAATGCAAAAGCATTGACATATATTTTTCCTTCCTACAATAGCCCGACGGGCAGGGAAGAGATAGATTTTGGTAGCCCGACTGAAAAAAATCGCTAGCCCCAGGACGTCGGGCTAGCGATATTGCAAGCCCTGTATCTGATTGAGGAATCACTCATCTTTGGAAAAGAGAGTTTATTACAGAGAAATGGCTCTTTCCAAAATAAAAGCTATACTATCCGCTTCTTCTGGGCTATATTCTCAGCAGCATAAGGAGAATCATGTGCTAACAGCTGTCTAAATGACTCGGCTAAAGTTAGTAGCATGCTTGTTGTTTTTGTCTTTGCACTAGGATGATGTCGGCGTAAATGTGCAGTCATATTCGTTGTGTTCCCACTAGTGCTTTCAGGTTAATCTCGTTGAAATGACCTTAACGCCACAACACGGCAAATCTCCGTTAACGAGCTACCGCTGATCGCTCCGTGCATGGGGCTAGACGGCCAACACGTTAACGAGCTAACTGCGCTAACACACTAGCTCCCACCCATGTAATTGAGCATTGCATGGCACATCCAACATACTGTTTTACTTTAGTCCATGACTCGCTTACCTTCAGGGTCATACGTCACATGAAAACCAAAATAATTCCAAACGCCAGATCTGGAGAGCTTAACTTCTGTCTTGCTAGCTTGCCCTGTGCTCTTCCTTCTGACTATGCTGTCTGTGTTGAGCGCTCAGTGGATCTGCGCTCGACAGTGCAGCCTAGGCGGAGTAGTCAAACGCAGATTCACTGAGCGCTCAACACAGACAGCATCGTCAGAAGGAAAGTTGATAAAATAAATTACAAATGTTGTATTGTTCGATACATATGCGTACCGAACCGAAAGCACTGTATCGAACGGTTCAATATCGATACGAATATCGTTGCACCCCTACTGTCCACAGCCTCAAACAGTCAGACTCCAAACTCCGCCATGGCCAAGACCAAAGAGCTTTCGAAGGACACCAGGAAAAGTATTGTAGACCTGCACCAGACTGGGAAGAGTGAATCTACAATAGGCAAGCTGCTTGGTGTGAAAAAATCAACTGTGGGAGCAATCATCAGAAAATGGAAGACATACAAGACCACTGATAATCTCCCTCGATCTGGGGCTCCACGCAAGATCTCATCCCGTGGGGTCAAAATGATCATGAGAACGGTGAGCAAAGATCCCAGAACCACACGGGGGGACCTGGTGAATGACCTGCAGAGAGCTGGGACCAAAGTAACAAAGGTCACCATCAGTAACACACTACAACGGCAGGGAATCAAATCCCGCAGTGCCAGACGTGTTCCGCTGCTGAAGCCAGTGCATGTCCAGGCCCGTCTGAAGTTTGCCAGAGAGCACATGGATGATACAGCAGAGGATTGGGAGAATGTCATGTGGTCAGATGAAACCAAAGTAGAACTTTTTGGTATAAACTCAACTCGTCGTGTTTGGAGGAAGAATACTGAGTTGCATCCCAAGAACACCATACCTACTGTGAAGCATGGGGGTGGAAACATCATGCTATGGGGCTGTTTTTCTGCCAAGGGGACAGGACGACTGATCCGTGTTAAGGACAGAATGAATGGGGCCATGTATCGTGAGATTTTGAGCCAAAACCTCCTTCCATCAGTGAGAACTTTGAAGATGAAACGAGGCTGGGTCTTCCAACATGACAATGATCCAAAACACACCGCCCGGGCAACAAAGGAGTGGCTCCGTAAGAAGCATTTGAAAGTCCTGGAGTGGCCTAGCCAGTCTCCAGACCTCAACCCCATAGAAAATCTGTGGCGGGAGTTGAAAGTCCGTGTTGCTCGGCGACAGCCCCAAAACATCACTGCTCTCGAGAAGATCTGCATGGAGGAATGGGCCAAAATACCAGCTACTGTGTGTGCAAACCTGGTAAAGACCTATAGTAAACGTTTGACCTCTGTTATTGCCAACAAAGGTTATGTTACAAAGTATTGAGTTGTATTTTTGTTATTGACCAAATACTTATTTTCCACCCTGATTTACGAATAAATTCTTTACAAATCCTACCATGTGGATTCATGGATTTTTTTTTTTTTTCACATTCTGTCTCTCACAGTTGAAGTGTACCTCTGGTGCAAATTACTGACCTCTGTCATCATTTTAGGTGGGGGAACTTGCACAATCGGTGGCTGACTAAATACTTTTTTGCCCCACTGTATACCATATTCAAATGTCTGTCAAAATGCAGCTGTTAATTTGATTGTGTTAGTGTGTCAGACTTTAATAAATACAAGCAGCCTCACACTGCTTGCAGGAAAAAACAGACGGATGCACCCATTTACACATCCTAGCGCAGTAACTTACCTTGATTAACAGACAAACGACTTGGGCTCCCATGGCAAATAACGTCTGGTGTTCTTCTACACTTTGTATGCGTTGGCTATTAAGTGCAGAGGAGCTGCTCTGGGTAAATTCTGTGCTCTGATGGAATCTCAGTCCTCACCATTTCCTGCAATCCCTGTCCCTGCAATTTCCCTTATAGAAAATCATATTGATTCTTTTTCAGTGTCCTCTCATTTCTCTTCATACTGTGTCATTTTTGTTAGGAAGTAACTCAATCCCTCAGTCCCTCATCATTTTTGAAAGAGAGTCAGTAGATCACCCAAAGAACTTTTTACACCTCTGGGTACATTTTTGCACATGAATCATCACATTAGTTTGCCCTGTGTCAGCAGAACTGACACTACACTTCTTTGGTGAACCCTGACAGTAGATTTTTGCATGGGCCCTAAATATCATGATAACAGCTTTAACTTCTCATTTTTTCTTTCTTAACCAAAGTTAATACCCTGAAAACTCAGTTTCAACCAATTAAGCTAACTGTGAATATTATATTTTCTCTCTTGGAGTAAAAAAAAAAAAAGTGCACTATTGCACTGCGTCAGCACTGCATCTCTGCTGCTTAGGTGTGTGTGTGTGTGTGTGTGTGTGAGCTCAGCTGGTCTCAGTGTGGATAACTTGTTCATCAATAATAAAGGCCACTTCTCTTCTTCTCATCTAACTACAAAGCAGCTTCCCTCTACTTTCCTCCTCCAGAACTGGTCTTTACTGCACAAATAGTAATTATCAGGAAGCACATTAAAGTAAAGATGCAAAGTCACTTGTTTTTGCATAAGAGTTTTAACATTTCAGTCACAAAGACCAAATATAACCAGTAAAGGTAAGAATTGTTGTTAAACTACACCGTTGTTTGCTACGTGCTAGGAGTTTACAACAAATTTTGTGATGTAATGATGCCATTTAGTTTTATAGATGTAGATGTTTGCTGAGACTTGTCCCTTGTTTCCTATTGACACTAAATCAGGATTAGTATCTGTGTACATGTTCTTTATACTGTCCAAAAGTGATAGTTGTACTAGTGATTCAGATCCTTTATCTACTAACATCATTCATCTTTTCTTTATATAGTTGCTTTGTTTTCAACGATTCGTATTCATGTTTTAAGTGCATATTAAATGACTTATTAAATATAAAAGTGTTCTTCTGTGTTTGCAGGTGTATGTTGTCTTTTGCTGATGTTGCTGAAAAGTCGTCAGTCTTCTTTGACTGACCGCATCAAACCAACCAGAGAAATGGAGAGTGGAGCTCTGGCAATGGAAGTCAGTGCTGGTCTAGGTTCGTCACCTTTCTTTAGATTCAGAATGAATATACTGTAATAATGGGGAAAGCAGCTGAAATACTGGACTATCAATTAAACGCTTGAAATAACAAGCAATAATAATGAATCATTTCAAATTGGTTAGAAGAGGTGAATAAATTTTTTTTTTATCTTACCTCCAAAATAAATAAACATTTGAACTAATTAGTTAAGGGGATCACTTAGTAGTTGAACAAAATGCTAAAATAAATGGATAAAAAGTGTGCTGAAAATCTAGACATATTTACAAATATGTCATCTGATAACACACACTGATTTTGAAAGCAGATTTTCAGATTACTGGACACATTTGCAAGTCTTACTTTGCATTCAGAGACTCCGTTACACTCTTACAAATGTGGTACTGCTGACAATTTGAAATATAGTTATAGAACCGTTCACGCACATTTGTGAGTAATTCTGGTTTAACAACCTTTTAATAGCCATCATGTTGACAGACGGTATGCTTGATTGATCCGTAGATTCCACATCAAGGCGTCAGGCCTGGGCCAAAACCAGAGAATCCGTCTGGCAAGATTCAAACTCAGAACACCTCTTTGGTCCCCAGGAGCCCCAGCCGAGCCAGAGTAATGGGAACACACAGGGACCCACAGCACAGGGTTAGTTGAACTTAACTGTTTAGCCTCTTTTGCTAAATACTTTACCTAAAATACCCGTGTATCCAAGGTTTTACATTTGCTGACTTAATGATATGCTTTTATTTGTTTATGAACCTTTGAAATAGAAAAGGTTATAGATAAAGCCTCTGTTCTAAAACATGGTGTGACTGAGAGTTACAGATTAAACCCAAATTCTTATTCGAGATGACACAAAATGTGACTGAGCCGGAAAAAAGCAGGAATAACGTCTGCAGAGGTCAGGATAGAAAGCCAAAGACTTCTAACCATAGATTTCTGTTGGATTCAAGGTCTTTTTGCAGCTTTTAACTGGATACATTTAAACACGTTACTGTCCTACAGTCTAAAGGAGACGTGGAGATCACTTTAATTTGTCAGAAGATCAAAGTGAAATGAATTCTCATTCAGTAAGTATTGTCGGGTGTGTGTTGTGTTTCACAGGTTTTGGTTTGTAGCCCTAATAAGTGTAACCATCAAATCACTTTACAGGCATATAAAAAAGCCTGATTGCCTTCTTATTGCAAAAAAACAAACACAGCAAAACATATTATTTAGAGTGTAAAGCACCAAAGTTTTGGGCCACAGGGATTACTTTTTATGCACTTTTGCCCACATTTAAAATAATGTGACATTTAATCATTATACATGTAAAATGTAAAGTTAGGGAAACCATAAAATGAATCATTATTTGTGGTCAGAGCATTGTGAAGAAAAGTTGGACGTGGACCACTTACATCTAAAACAGTGGAAACACAAACTGCAGACCAAATTACTGTAATGTTGACATATCCTGATGTCTGGCACCACTATAATAGTTTTATAGCATGTTGTAATCACTGCACAGTACAGCACGCGCTGTTTTATTGCTTTAACATACTCGTTTCTTTCTACTAGGACAAGTTCCTAACAACAAGATCGCCAGCTGGCTGAATGACTGCAGGTACAGTATTCATTCACCACCTGATTAAATATCCTGTTTTCAGTAAATGTCTCACGTGCTAAAGCAGTGCACACATGCTAGATGATTCAGTCCAATAATTTAATGATGCCAGTTTAAAATGAATGTTTTTAAGCAAGAAGTTAAAAAAAAATAGGTTTGCTTTGTATCATATCCCACAGGTCCTTTATTATGTTATTCACATTTTTGTTCATAATGACCAAAATGTGCTCTTCTCCGTTTTTGTTGTAGTGAGTTCTTTTTAGAAAAACACTTTGAGTCCCTTGGACATACACTATAGAATAGAATAGAATAGAAAAGCCCCTTATTGTCATTGCACATTTACAAAGAAATTTAATTCCTTCAACTGTGCAGGAATAAAATATAAATGGCAAGAGAGCAGGAATAAATAACAAATAAGAGAAATGGATGCAATCAAAAGGAATATATACAAAACAAGAGAAAAGGCAAACATTGGAGAACAGAGTGCTTTGCAGTTTTTGGTCATTTTGGCTCATGCTGTGGTCAGCTAACCGAACTGTGTGCTGTAACTTCCTGAAGCTGAAAGGCTTAGAAAAACAGCATTTTCTTTCTTATTTTTAGGGAAAATAAACAAGAGTTTGTGGATATTTTTTTCCAAGCTTTGTTTGACTAAAATTGCACTTGTATTTTTTTTTTTTATTGTTAATGATTTATTAAAATTATGGCATTATGAGCTTTTTCTTCTGCTTCTGAAGTGGGGCATTGCAGGAAAAATTATTGGAAATGTTTCCATTATATATAAACTGGATTGTGTTTTATTGCCGTTATCATTGTTAATTTTTCCTACAAACAACTTCACCTGTACAGACACTTCGACTGGTTAAAAGTAACTGTGCATCTGTGCTAATCTAGTTTTGAGGGGCATGCTATGAAGAAAGTTCAACATTAGCTGGGCTTTCTTTGCGTTAGCTGGCTTGACAAAACCTAAAACCTCAGTTGGCGATTACGAGTAAGATGGTGGTTATCAACTTTCTTTGTTAACCCAGGCTATCTGCTTAAGTGTGTTTGCACACTTACTTGAAAGGGGGATTGATTCTGCGTATCTGAGCGCTGAAACTTTAAACTGCAGGCACATTAAAGGTTATTCAGAATTAAAGGATGTTTAAACAGTAACACAGACGTGGAAATCACTTTTGGTTTGTTGCCCAATGAAAGTGAGATTAATTTACTGACTGAATAGATATTTTTCTGTATGTTCTTATCACAATCTGTATAAGATACCTGGCAGCTGATTAGCACCAAACATAACAATCTGAATGCAAGAAAATTCCAGTGACGATGCAGTTTGTGCTGCTCTAAATATACAGCTGGGCTACATTTGACCACATATAAAATGTTTTCCTTCCGCACAGCATTTGTATTGCACTTAAAGGATATTGTAACTAAAACAATCCCCAAACAGATTGTGTGCTCACCAAGTTCCCATGGCGATTTAGCCAGGTAAAAAGACCCACATATGGGACGCTGAAGGCTCGGACATGACATGCTGTTAACTTTTGCAAGTTCTGGATAGTTCACAAAGCTTTTTCATGCCTGTACTTACAGTAAAAATACATGAATTATGAATTTGAATGCAAGTCAAAATATGACTGATAATTACTGAATTTAATTAGGCCATGCATTACAGTAAAATTAAGTTAATGAGTGCCGAGGGTTGTTTGATTATGGGATTATTTAAATGGGAATGGGAATCACCCTAGTTTTTGTCACTATATTAAAGAACACAAATATGTCTTAATATTATTTTAGAATCAAAGATTGGGAAATGGGCATTTGAGCACTTTAATAAAGTGCATCTAAGATGCTTGAGATAAAAGCTTTGCTGAAATAATTAACTACAATCAAAAAGATAAGACAATCAGTGTGAGGGTACAGAAAGATTAACATAGTCATTAATGTAAATATGAACAGCTGGAGCTATGGTCTTTTAGAGCCTGTCTCATGAGTTAAACGCTTGCTAACTGGTTTTGTCGCTTGGTGGGTTATTGATATGGGTTCCTGATGTCTAGAGGTGTGTGTTTAAAGGTGTTTTTATCAGCTGCTGACGTAGCGCCGAAGCGCAGCCAACGCCTAGACATAGAACACACAGAACCACAGGGAACAAACACAGACAAAGACAGCAGACCCACGCCCAGAGATAGGGTGCACAGAGCGGCTGAAGTGGAGTAAGGAGAGAAAGATGCAGGAAGAAGCTGACAGAAGACGGAAAGAAAAGCAGAAAAAGAAAGAGCAAACAGAGGAGGGGTTCCTCCTGCTGAGTCAACATTGTTATCACACAAGCACAGTTTTAACCGCTGTCACTCAGAAACGTCTACAGCATGACACGGCACCATGGCAAGCAGGTTACTATAGCTACAGTCGCAGGGTAGGGACTTGGGGCCAACATGGCTGATTTTGGCAAGTGGGAGGAATAGTAAACACTGCGACTGCGCACTATTACACAATTGTCCGTGTGTGTGTGTGTTTTATTTGGTGCCATGAACTTGTGCCATTGATAAAAGCTGCAGGTTGTGTAACAGCACAGTCTCTCCAGCATCCTGCTGCAGACAGCAGCTCAGACCCGCTACCTCAGTACTACTGTCAACTAGCCTAATCTGTCAGCCAGTTAGCCTGGAGCAACTAGTCTTGTCAGTACAACCGCGAAAGCTTCTAAAACCAGAATTTAACCTAGAATAATTGGTATAGGATGTGATTGACCAGAATAAGTATCTTGACCTGACTTAGACTGGAAATATTGGCCTTTATTTGACTGCCAGTTAGTCTGGGTTACCCAGACTACTGACTTGAGAGATCTTAAAGTTGGCACTCAGCCTCAGACAAGCAGCCAGTTCGCTCGCTCAAGTTAGGAAATATCTTGCTATACAAAGGCATACAGCATTATTATCAGTTATCTAGGATATTTGTGAGATGGGTATTTAACCTTGGATTTGTCTTGAATTTACTACGATGTAGTCAAGGGTAGGTGGCTTCAGCCACACAGTACAAATCTGCACACAGACTACCAATAGAGAGAGAGCATGTGGATACATCATGCTACTTTCTTATTTCCTTTTTAGTGCATGTTAATCGCAGCACACCTAACTGGTGGCTGATGTTGGATTTTGTGTGCGTGTTCAGTTTATTTCACTCATCATCTCTCTGTTTTCCAGAACTCCCCTTGGAGCCTCTCTAGATGACCAGAGTGCTTCTCCAAGCAGAGGTAATCCATATTTTTGTTGTTTATGTGCAGCACAGTGAGAACGTCAAACTTGTGATGGCGACAGCTCCTCTACTCTCTAGACTTTATTGCATCAGAATATATTTGCCGCGTCATTACAACTATCAAATCTGAATTTGTTTTCGTTTAGCACTGTTGTCACTGACGGCATTTCACGCCGTGTGTGTGTGTGTGTGTGTGTGTGTGAGAACAGGGCCTCTGAAGAACGGCTGCAGCTTTGAAGATGACCTTTCACTGGGGGCTGAAGGTCAGTTCGCAAGATTTACAATTTCTTCTCATTGTTAACGGTTTCCCTCCATTTTCTGCTAATTGTGTAATTGAATCCTGATTTAAATGGCATATTAAAAATAGAAACACTGACATTTTGGTAACGTGTTCTCCGCCCGAGTTTGAAAGCTGATAATAGCAGAGCTGCCCCCAACGCAAAACCTTAATGGTCCATAAGTTAAGAAAACTAATCAAGACTGATGTCAAACTTCTGTTGCCAGGAATATATTTATTTTGTATAATTCTAATGCAAACAGAATCCTAATGGTCATAGTTACTGTTCAATAATATGAAGTCCTACATTGGCTAGCCTGCCAAGGGTCCAGGAAAAAATCCTTCTGGTTTCCTGGAGTGTTTAAATAAAGTTGTTGTGTTTTTGTTTTTGTTGTTTTTTTTCCTGTTATCTCCTTGTAGTTCTTGACTCTGACCTGATGGAAACTGGATTCTGTTCTAACCACATCTGTGGTTCATTTTTGACTTCTGTGGAAAAAAAAACATTACAAAAGCTTTTATAAAATGTTATGTGAAGTTATCATTGGTCACTTCAGGAAAAATCGATATATGCTTCCAGATTCCCTGGCTTGGATTACTGCTGATTAGGAAATTGCGTAATCCTGAGTTGAATTACTCATATTACCACTAAGGGTTGCTCTGGTCTGATCTGGTTTACTATTATTTGGACAGGCAAAAGCACCTCAAATCTATGATACCAAAGCCTAAAAACAAAGCTTCTGAATTGTAGTACTTTGCTGAATGACATAGTTGTCTTTAGAGGCTTTATGAACTGGATTTAGTTCTCAGTTTTCTGTGACTCCATACACAGAGGCAGCGGACACCAGGTTATTTAGATTTGGATGAGTTGTAGTCAGGAACAGATTTGTTGCATCTCGCTCCTAAATCACTACTGAGCTGAGAAGTGAATAGTTGATATTTTGAACACCCTCTAGTTATCCCAACACTTTCAGTTAGTTCAATGGAATCAATTTTTGGGTCATGCAGTCATCATGTAATGTGTTGCATTGTGTAGTGTACAAGCCACAAATACATAGACACGGTCTATGTCCATTGAGAGTTTTATCTAGTGTGTGTGGGAGGTTTGGTTTTTTTCCCATTACGGATCTGTCAGTGGAAAGTCTGTGTAAGGAAACTAAATGGAGGTAAAGTGTAGTGTCATCAACATAGTATGAGTTATTTTGTGCTTGGTCATGAGAGAAATTTGGATACAAACTTCAGTAGTCCAAAACCAACTTTTAGAAGGATAAACAATGACCTATAACGATCTGCAAACTATTACAAAGCGCATTGTAGAGAACTGAAAAAAAAAACTTTCTGAAAAAACTAAGTGCACCATTATGCTTCTATAGGAAATAAGAGGTAAGTAGGAGCCAGGTGCTGCTACTCAGATACATTCGATTAGTTGATCATCAGCAAATGTGAGCACCTCTGTAAAAGCAGAAGTTATTCAGAGGTTGTGTTAGCAGAGTGTTGCAACCTATTGGCATGTTAAATCTTAATTGACATCATGACTGTGAAATTTCTAAGAAGGAACAAGTTGGCTTGGCCTCTTCTCTTTAAAAAGAACACGGCAGCACAGTTTAGGTTTGGAAAGCTGCATCTTAACAAACTACAAGACTTCTGGAACAATGTCCTTTGGACAGATGAGACCAAAGTGGAAATGTATGGCTATAATGTTAAATGTAAACCAAACACAACATATCATACTAACTGTCAAGCATGGTGGTGGAAATGTGATGATTTGGACTTTCAACCAAAGAATCTGGGCATGTTGCAGTCATTGAGTCAACTGTACTCCTTTGTATACCAAAGGATTAAAGAGTCAAATGTGAGACGGCTAAAGCGTGAAAAGCTAAAGCACAGCAGGAAATCTAGTCTTGCAGTGGCCCAGTCAAAATCAAATGAAATGCCAACAAACATCAATTAATCGAAGCAATGCAGTGAAGAAGAGTCAGCCAAAAAAATTTCCACAGCAATTTATTTAATCATTGAGTGTAATTTGGTGTTTTTACAGGACTGTATAGTCCTGGGAAAACGTTGATTTTCACAGGACTGCATATCCCATAGAGCTTCCTAAGGAGTCCCATAGAAGAGAAAGGCAGTTGACTTTTTGACATTTCTTTTTTATTTAATAATAATGAATATAGATAAAACTATTTATTTTGACCCACGTGTCTTTTGATCATGTGTTTTAAATGAAGGATGAAGGTCTGACAAAACGGTGCTTAAATCAACAGAGTATCTTGTGATACCTCATCATCTTCATTCCAGTCTTGTTTCTTCTTGAAGGAAAAGTCAACAGTGGCAGAGGTGTGGGAACACGCTGCACGCACGACTGAGTGTGCGTGTTCATCATATTTGTGATCTTGTAAGGACGGCAGAGTGTATATGTTACCAACTGAACAATAGCCTGTAATGACTTTCTGTTGAAATGTCATGTATGGTGTGTGTGTGTGTTGGAGATCAGTTGGGGGAATCTGGCGCTGAATAGGTGTTAATTGGTTAATTCTACAAGTTTTTACCTTGTATCAGCAGAAAGCGCACAACAAATACACAAAAAAGACAACAACCGAGTCTGCATGTTGATATACTGTATCCGGCCAGATGGAAGCTACTTGAACATCTTAGACAAGTGGTGGCTAGGATCAACCAGAACTGACTGGGTCTTCTTCAGAGTCCTAACTTTGTACAGATGAGGAAGGTCATAAAGGCGCGCATGTCCTACTTTCCTACATATTAGACTGTCTCTCCATATTAGACAGTACTTTGCAGCCTGCTTTTGCTGTTGAGGTTCAGTGGCCCGTGCTAGCTAATAAATGAGAATGTAAGAACAGATTCAATAAAACCTTCTCATAAACGTGCTGCTAACATGGAAACCTCAAAGCTTGTGATAAAAGTACACTTGTGCTGGTAAGCTTTTCTACACATGGCTTCCACCTGAAACTCAAAGGTCAGCTTGTTATCACTTATAGTGCTGCACAAACTCAGTAGCCTCATCTTTTTTCCATTGAAGGCAGGTAATCGTAAAATTCTCTGTAAAATCCACAACCATCAATTTAGTTTTCTGAGCACTGATGTCCAAATAGGACAATTTGTACCACTCAGTGAAATCTGGTTGTTTTATTTATTGAGGAAAATCACCTAATATAGCGTATCAAGGGTGGGGGTTGAACTTCAGGCTATTCGACAACCCTTCTGTCAGCTTAGGATTAGGACCTGGTCATTTTGAAATGTGATATTTATTCTTTTTGGACCCTTGATGACTTTTGTTTTTACATTGTTATTAAGCTGCTTGACCCATCCTGTCTTGAGATTCTAGTCATGGACCAAGCTCGAAAAGTTTTTTAGCAATTACTGGAGTAAGTCAGAATTTGTTGTTCAAAGATCACAAACTGTTCTGGCCCAGATGTGCCAAAATGGACCGAAACGATGATGCTACCACCTCCATGGCTTGATCCCTGCTTTGTGCAGCGCTCCCAAGTGTGATCGATAAAAGGTGCTGGTATGAGTGTGTTAATGGGTGAAAATATGCATGCTCAGTCACAGTAAAAAAAGCACTATATAAATAACAGTTCATGTATCCTTTACATTCTCCATAATGCTTCTCAGTTAAACCAAAACAGTCTATTCATTCTTCTCACTCATCAAAGCATTGTTTTTGCAGCCTTCTGGCTTTCTAATGTGATCTTTAGTCAAAGGCATCAAGCAGCAATGTTTTTGTAGAGCAGCAGCTTAGTTTTCTCAGGCCAGCCATGCCTGGCATTTTTTCATTACGCTCCTGATGCTGGACTCTGAAAACCCTCAGAAGTTGCCCTGTGTTGCACAGGAAGAGAGTTTTATCAGTCAACCACTCCTGTGGAGGCTAATGACACTTTCATTTGTTTGCACACAGCCTTTCTGACTTTGGATTGGTCGAGTCTGAACTCTTTGAAGATAATTTTTGTGACACATTCCAACCTGATAAGCTCCTCCCACCGATTGGCTCATGTCTTTAAAAGTAAAATCTCAGTTGTTTGTGCAGCTATTCACTTTCACAAATGTGAAACTTTCAAAATGTTACGCTAGCATGAGTTTGAAGGATTTGGTTGATTAAATTACCAAATTCATAAAACATTTGGGAAATGGGAAATGCATATTTGACTAAAAATACCTGCATCAAATATTTCATGTCTAAGGATATTTAGTTTAGCGTCACTAAACATTTCCTGAGCATCAAGGACTCAGCCTGCCTGTGTTCACCATTTGATTTTGTATAAGCTGTCTGTGTTTATACAGAGGTGACATTAGGATTCTTTAGTCTGAGTGTCTCTGTCTGCTTCATGTTATATCCTGACAGTATGTGCCTTAATTATGTTGAGAGTGATATTTGACAGGAGTAGCTGATGTCCTCTGTGGAGGATTTTCCAGATGTCAGGTATGGACAGATCCTAATTGGCTCTTATGCTGTTTAACATTAGGAGGACAGGATAGGAAGGGATTAAAGTGCTAAGGGGTGAATGGGATAGAAGTGAATTAGTGAATTAAATAGTTCGGGGTGAATGGTGTGGAACTGAATCGGTGAATTAGCGTGTGGATGTCACTGTTGTCACGTTTGGCTGCTTTAATCCAGCGGTCTGTTAGAGAAGAAAAACATTGTTGATTCCAAGAAGTTCATCTGAAATGAGCTGGAATAGAAAGACGCTCTCACACAGACGGCGACATGTCTCAGCAAGTTCTTGTTAAATGGAAAAAAAAAAAGCAGTCAGACCTGCAGCAAGTGATGACGTTTTTTTTAAAGTTGCTTGACAAAATGAAAGTTTACCTACATCAGCGCTCAGTACAAGCAAACCGTGGTAAACGGCACATTAATTAAACTTCAACGTTTTTAGGACAGCTGGTTTGATTCCGACCAAGTTGGGCAAAAGCAGTTTTTTATTTTGAAGTGTTACGAAATAAAAACTTGGCAGATATTCTCTGCTGTAGCTAGGTATAGATTAAGGCTAGTGTTAGTTTCTTAAGACATGGTCACAGATTTTTATTTTTTGTCCTTCTCGGTGATTTTAAAAAGACCTTGAGGAAGACCTTAGCCTTTACATTTTCTGGGAGATTTATAGCAAATGGTTGACAGAATTGTAAAGGAGAGGCTAATGGCGAGCAAGTTCAACCAACTGAACTAGTATCCTGTACTGAAGTTCCACTCACTGTTCCTATCCTTTTTAATCTATAATTAATAGTTGCTTGATTATTTAGTTTCAAGCATTCAGCTGTGCATCTCATTAAAAAAATGTCATCTTGAACCTTCTTAATAACTGTTGTACGTTGTTGTAACGGCCTATTGGAAAAGGTCTTAGAAAAACTTGTTCTCCTATCTAAAAGTTTTTTTTATTTTTGTCTGTAGTGGTTGCTGTAGTCAGGATGTACAGTGCCTGCTTTCTTTCTATTCAGGTTTGTGTGTCACATTAAAGAGTAAAGTCTTCTTGCAGAGCCTAAAATTTAAAGTTGTCGTCTTTCTGTCTGAGGGATAGAGAGAGGGAATCTTCTGTTACAATAGGAAACCATTTTTTACGTGATGCCCCCAATTTATATGGCAACCCCCAAGTGTAATTTTACTTCCCCTGAAGTCTGTGGAAACAGTTTGTTCACTGAAGAACCTCTTTGACCGTCCAAATGTTGTCATATTCAAAGACATATTTCAGCTAAACTCGGGCAAAAGTGAAATCAGCTTAGTTACTAACCTTTTAAAAGGTTCCTCTTCTACTCACGACGAACACAAAAATCTTTTTCTTTAATGTCTTCTTCAAATTAGCGGTCTCTGTGAATGATAGCTTTTATCAGCTTAGGAATTTTAGCTTAATTAAAACCAGTTTTATCTCACAATGACTCATCCAGTATTTGTTTTATCACCTCTTGACTAGACTACTCGACAGCTCCCTGTACTTAGTTGTCTCATTACACCCCTTCTTGACTAGTATTTGTCCAAGATGCAGCTGCTACAAAGAAAAGACAAGACATCACTCCTGTATTGGCTTAGTAAAATTCCAGATCATATTACATCAGTCATGTATTTCTTTGGTAACCAGTGCAGCTGTTTGTTCTTTGCAGAGCAGCTCTAAAGAGGCTTCTAATGCCATAATCCGCCTCAAGGTGACTTGCATCATCCTCCCGTTAACTCCTCGTAGTCGCCTACTCTCGCCTTTAAAACCAAAATATTTCCCACTTGCTGCTGCCAGACTCCAGGAAAAAAAAAAAATCAGCCACCCACATTAAGTACCGCCCTGTTGTTGACAATACTTCATCCTTTTGAAAGATCCACATATATTCCCCTGGTTTGCTGTTTGGTTTAAGTGCACTCATGTCATGCTTTTTTTGTTTTGTTTTGTTTCTTAAATGTTCTGATGGTGCGTTTTAATGTGCTGTTGTTTGGTTGTTGCCATTTTTAATGCAGTGTTTTCATTTTATTTATGACTTTCACATCCTGACTCCTTTTTTTCTTTTTTTTTCTCTTCATTTTTAAGGCTAGTTTTGTCCAACCTCTAGTCCCCTGGGATTGTGGTCAAGTCAAAACTTGTTTATATAGCTGATTTATTGGGACTTTATGGTTTCCTTTTTGTCCTGTTCTGTGTTTTTCGTTATGTTGATTTGGTCAGGGGGAAAGTTTCTGATAGATTATTGATTAAAGGCACAGAGCAGTGACACAGTAATGCTGCTCAGCATTCTGTATTTGGATGTATACTTAATATTTTCATGTTCTTCTTTTGCAGCCAACTATCCTCAAACCAAAGCCTGGTGAGTTCATTTGTTTTACTCTCTACATTCAGTAAATAAAGTGGCAGCTGGTTGGTGCATTAAGCCTGAAGCTTTTCTAGACATTACCTGACGTAGATGGACTCTGTACTAAAGAGTTGGCACGAGAAAGGCCATTTAATGTCTCATCCAGCTCTGTCAGAGTCCATGAAATGCATAATTTCACCCATGTGAGGAAAAGAGTAAGTAATTGAATGCTTACTATGAATTCACAGTAAGCAGCAGTGGTCCTGTGCCCTGCCTCCTGCATGCTTGACTCATGCAGCTTGCATAAACCAGTTTATTTCAAGTGTTGAGAACACATGTGAAACATGTAAAGCAGCAGATGTGGTGAATCATTTGATTTGATTTGATTCTCCTGATGTTTTCCAGAGTTCATGTTTAAAAACAGCTTTAGATTCTCCCTTCTCTCACATGCACGTGCGTGATTTAATGCCTCTCTGTATGTTAATGCTTCATATGCAGTTTTGATCTTGCGGCGGATCAGAAAAGGAGCCAATATAAAGAGAAAGGAAAGAGTCTGAACTCCACAGGATCTGGGAAAAGCAGCACCGTGTCCAGGTCAGTTCATTTGCTCACTTCTCACTCAGATTTGTGCAGGGATCTGCAGAAAGTAACTCTCAGAGATGCTGATATTAAATCTCAAACCAGAGAACTCTTTAGTTTACCTTGCAAGGGAGTTGAAGATTTTAATCAGTAGAGTATCTGCATTGCAAGGTTTTAAGTTGTGCTGTTAGTTAAACGTAAGTCTGACCAATAAGCACCTAGCCAGTGCGACTGCAGTTATGCATTTATTTTAGCCAGATGCTTCATCCAATCACATGCCAATGAATTTATTTATTTATTACCACCTAAGTGCAGTAATAAATAAATTAAATGTAAATAAATCTTGTAATATTCTAAGTACATAGGCAGCTGCACTGCTGTAACTATATGGTAGCATGTCCTCTTTTGCACGCTCGGCATCCTGTGAATTGATGACCTGATTAGTTGAAGTTTGCCCATGGTAGATGGTGATAAACGGATGGTTCATCCAATCGTCTGCCAAGTAATGAAGTGACAGCATTTCTCAAACTAGTTTCTCAGAAGAAGTGTCCCGATGGTGAACTTTAAGAAACAGTCTGGTACTTCAGGTTTTTCATTTGTAGCCAAACAAAATTACTGTCCATAAAGGTCAAAGTCAGGGTGTATTTCTAAGAGGAAGTGTTATCTATTCAAGAGGAGTGCAAGAGTTTTTGTCCAAAAACCATCTTATTTTAAATTCCTTGGATGTCGAGCAGTAGTTAGGAGATTCCCTAGATCGAAACTCCAGACATCCAGAGGCCCCCAGAACACAAGAGACCAAGGAAGACCAACAGAGGGGCAGCCGCACCACTGTCCCAGAAAGAGCTGAGGAGAGTCCCAGATGAGGGCTCACTCAGCAGCCGTGGAGCAGAAGCCAGGGGAGTTGCAGTGACGCGCCCGTGAGCTCCGCCGGCAGCCAGCCGTGCCTGAGTGACCGAGCCCCAGGCCGAGAGGCCGGGGGCACCCCACCCCCAAAGTGGCCCGAGCGAGCCCCAGGCTCCAGGCCCCGATAAGTGGCCGCCAAGGAGTGAGCCGGTGTGTACCTGGATGCCCATCCCCAGACACAAAGAACCACCAACGCACCGATGTCTGAGGGAGTCCGCCACTGGCAGGGGAAGTGGTGGTGGGGGGAGATAGGCCTCCAAACCTTGGAGGGCCTGAGATGTCCCCAGAGAGGTGGCGTCTGATACCCAACCTGACATATAGACACAGACATACAGGCACACACAGATACAAACATCCATTCCCACCCTCATGCTCTCATATGCAATTACTCAACACGCAACCAACGTGGAGACAGACATAAAGAGACGCTGTACACACAATCACACTCCCCAAGCGTACTCTAAGCCCTGGGTCTAGGTACCCTTGCCCCTGGAGGGGGAACTGCACCCAGACCCAGGTGGTGTTACCCTTTTCCCTGGGGTGGGGAGAAGCAGACTGCCCCGGCTCGGCAGCAGCAGGGAGGCCCCACATTCCAGACCCCAATCGGACGGCCAACTCCTCCTCCCAGACCCATCAGGGTAATTCTGATTGGGCACTAGCCATGAGCAGACACTTAAATTTAATTCTTTTTAAAAGTTGTGAGCCAAAGTAAAGAATCAGGAACCTCTAGTGTTGAAATAAATGTAGGTTAATTGTTTTTGGTTGGAGTAATAATGGCTTGCAGTGTCACTGCTCTATCAGAAATATCTACTGTCCACATCCTTTACCTATAAACACATGTGGTGGGTAAATTATCAGGATGGTTGTGGTGAGTGGACAGGATAAGGCGATCAGGTCGGAGCAGCAGGCGTGTCTGGCGGCTGACGTTATTAGCTGGTGTTAAATGTGGTAAATGATGTATAGTGGCTTCTCACGATTTCACAAGTACATAAAAATAGAAACTGTATTATGAAGATGAGTAGCATCATCACCTTACAGTGCAGACGATTATCTCGCTGAGTTATCAGCGGGTAGAAAAAGAAACCACAGCAGCCTCATCTAAATGCAGGTATCACTGTGTTAGAATCACCCAAATACAATATAAAATACACTATTTTGCATAACTACTTTACACTGTCTGCTCTACGCAAATAGCAACTTGTTGTGTTGGCAAAACCTGAGGTGAAAATGTGGGATGGATTAGTCTTCTGCTGCTAGTCAGGATTCAGGTCTCAGTAAAATGGTTGAAGAGCAGGACTCTGCTTGCTGGCTGTGTGTTTTTGCAGTCGTCACTCTGCAGTTAGAGAGAAAGTTCAGACTAATTCTGAACTTTCTCTCTAACGTGTGTCTCTCCGCAGTGTGTCAGAACTGCTGGACCTATACGAGGAGGATCCTGAGGAAATCCTGTTAAACCTTGGCTTTGGTCGAGAAGAACCCGACCTGTCCTCAAAGATTCCCTCCAGGTTCTTCAACAGCAGCTCCTCGGCGCGAGGCATCGACATCAAGGTACAGACAGAGCAAAAGAAATGGATTTGTTTTTGTTTTGATTTTTTTTTTAAGTTCATCGTTGTAGTTTGTTTAGCACTTTTATAATGCACACTTGTGAATGATCAGAAGGTCGCTGGCCGTACATTGCAAACACTTTCACAGAACCAGGAGCACAGAGGATACGTCCAAGTCACTTCAGTGATCCTTGACTTTGCATTTAATGGCACAAGCAGATCCAACTTTCAACTTACTCAGTGAAATGTTTCACAGTCTACTTGATGGTCTGGTGCAAATTCTTCTGACACTCACTCATGCAGGACGATTTTTAATAACTTTAACGTGAATTAAATTTATTTTGCTCCAAATTTAAATGTTTTTTTAATACTCTCGTGACCAGATACTTCCAAAAACAATGAAATCTTCTTTATTTGCATGATTACTTTATATTTGCGGTTTATTAGAAAACGTTAAGCATTCACATTTTTCAGGGTTTTTTTTTTTTTTTTAAAAGTCATACACTAGCCATATTCAGGGACGTAAAGTTTTTTGACACATAGTATTGTGCAAATGTTTTGAGCCACCCTTCGTTTCTTTACATTTTGCCAGGAAAATGGGAAATCTGTGCAGTGTTTTATTGAAATTGGAAATCATCATGCATCGCTCTCTCTGCTGGAGTTTTTTTATTTCTTAAAGACGTGACTTTCAGCTACAGTTCATCTGCTGTACATAGTTTTTAGCTCTGCCACTTCTTCTTGCCCCGTTATCTCTTTTTTTTAAAGATGACCATTTTGAGATATTCCAAGTTTTTGTCTAATATCTCCTTGAATCACCTTCTTGGTGCAAAAATACAATTTAATCCCTCTCAAACTGTTATCGTTGGCTTTTTTTTAAAAAAAAGATTCCTATTCATATTTTTTTATATCTTTGGTATGTTTTATCTTTTTATTTTATCATTAATACCTCTGTAGGCATGAGCATAATACTATTTCTGGCTTTTAGCAGTAGGCCAGTTTTTATTGGAGCTCTCCAAATAGCAGTAAGCTTTTTCTTATTGGGGTTTCTAAAAACCAGAACAAGATGTTCAGCCATGATACTAGTGTGCAAAACTTGATCTACAGTGTTACCATGTGCGTGCTAATGAGGAACGCTGAACCAAGGAACCAAGGATCTTCACACTGTGCAGAATTGTGGCTTGTATAGATGTTGAGTGTAAAATAATTTTTTTTTAAAACCCGTTGGCATTCCCTCGCTGAAAGTCTTACATTCCCAAGGAATCATTATTGGATTTCCTGTGGTCCACAAAGTTGTGTGTTGGCAAATGTGAGACCTCACAATGCTCGGTCCTTCTTTTCAAGCATAATCTAAGGCAGTATGTGGTCAATGAGAGCGGCAAAGTAGTGGCTACAGACTTGCTTACTGCTAAAACTTCAGCTGCGTTTGAGGTTTAAGTTATGCACGTAACTAAGCTCTACTCTATTTCACTTGTGTTGCTTCGATACAGTGACGGAGATGCTTACTAAGGAGTAGCTTAAATTAAATTTACCGCACACTTGCAACAAATCAAAGCAATTTGTCTTCCCCAAATTACAAGATAATGTATCACAGCCATAGACTTTACAACCAAAGCACAGCCATAGCTAAGCAGAGTTATGGCCTGTCTTGATCAGCCCTGGTGGTGCTCGGGGAGAGGGCTGGTGAACCAGCTCCTCTAGTTACTTTTCCAGGTGTATTGGTACAGACCTGCGCCCACAGCTCGAGGTGCAGTGACTCATACTGTTGTTACAGTGAAGCTCTGCCTTTCTCTATTGATCAGACAGAATGCAAACATAAAGGGAAAAAAATTCCCACAGTGACTCTTAGTTACCTCTATATTAAGTAAACATTATCAGCAGGGGAAAACCTGCTGCCGTATTACCATCAGTCACAGATAATGTTTGTAATGGCATTATTTCCTGTGTTACATATACAGGTCTACCTGGCAGCTCAGCTGCAGCGGATGGAGGTGGAGAACCCCAACTACGCCCTGACAAGTATGTACCTCCATGCTTTTAACGCTGCTGCATCTCTTCTGGTGTTTGGGTTTACTTTCTACAGCCTCAGTGCTGCAGGTGGAGGGTTAACCATGATAGTGATGAGAAGCTCAGAGGTTCACGTCCTGAAACTGTAGGCAGAGGAAGTGAAGCTCGGTGACTGTGTGTGTCCTGTTCCCAGTATTATTGTGGTGTTTTGTGGGGTCCTTCAGCTTTTTTAGCTGTTCTGCCAACTGCCTGGACAACACTGCCAGCAAAGACAAAGGTCTGTTTGTCCCAAACTCACACACACTCGCACGCACGCACACGTGCACACAGACCTGCTCCGCTAACATCCTGGCCTCTTTTTGTTTTCAAATGCGTTTTTGCATGAAGGTACTGGCTCACTACCGAACAGACACACGCACACACACAGGATCTGGCAAAGCATTTCTTTTTTTTCTTTTTTTTACTGCACTTACACTGTTAAACTGTCAAGAAGAAGACAGTCAGCTGTGTGTGTGTGTGTGTGTGTGTGTGTGTGTGAAGATGAATCACTTCAGAGGTGAAATTAGTTCAGCTCTAGAATACTTTAACTGAGTCTTTGGTCACTTTTCTACTTTTTAGTTGCTCCAGTTTATTGATGATAAAGTCTCACTTCTTCTTGTTTGCTGTTCTTTGTTGCTGTTGTGCTCGTTGAAGGCAACAGATTTATATTTTCATACGGCCGATCGAGCTCTGCCTTGTTTTCTTTTTTGGTCTTGTCTTTTTAGTTTTAGTTTTGTTTTAGTTTTTTTTTTACCTGCAAGTAAGTTGTTGTCACGATCACTTCACACAACCAGCCATACACTTGTCAACGGCTAACATAAGATGCGGATTTGTGGTGTCAACTATGATAAATGAACAACTGTCTCAACTGCATAAAAGCCAAATATAAACCCAGGTCCAAAACTGTTTGGATGCTGTGTAAATGTAAATATAAACAGAATGCACTGATTTGCATTTCCAAAGCCCCTATTTTAGTACATAGAAAATATATAAGATGTTTAAACTGACACATTTCAGTATTTAATTAAAAATATTGGCTTAGTTTGAATTTGATGGCAGCGATACGTCTCAAAAGTTGGGAGAAGGCAACGAAAGGCTGGAAAAGTAACTGGGACTGTAAGAGCATCTTAGAGAGGTAGTTTCTCAGAAGCAAAGCTGTGCAGAGGTTCACCAGTCTGCAAAAAAAAACTGCATCTACAAACTGTGCTGCATTTTCAGAATAATTGTCCCAAAAGTCAAATTGCAGAGACTCATCTACAGAGCATGATATCACCTACACATTTGGATAAATTGGAGAAATCCCTGTGTGTAAGGGACAAAGCTGAAAACCAGTGTTAGGATCACTGACCTTAACTCTTTGGTGAAAAGGTCTGTATTGCAGGCAGGGCAGTTTAGCATTAACATTTGGAACATCACTAAATTAAAAAATATGACAAAGAAGACCCAGGACTGTTAAGCAGCTAGATAGCAGACAAAAATGGGACAACACTCTTTCTCTGAAAGTCCAGCAGCTGTTCTCTTCAGTTTGTAGTTTGTAGACTGCTGTTAAAAGAAGAAGAGATGTTACACAGTGGTAAACATGGCCTGCTTTTATTTATTTATTTATTTATTTATTTATTTTTAATTTGTTGCTGCCACAAAATACAAACTGAGCCAAAATTTTTCCTCTTAAAATGGTGCATCTCATTTTAAATATTTGAATGTTTTTATGTTCTTCTGTGAGTAAAATCTGGTTTGCAAATCATTGCATTCTGGGTTTGTTTTTTTTTTTTAAACATTTTATACAGCGCCCTAACTTCTTTGGAATTTAGATTACTGGTTTAAATTGATCCCGACTCATCAGTATGCCAATGCAGGCTTTGGCATTTTGCAGAATAATGCCACACTTTGAATTGAGTCCATGTCGGCGCCTGATGACTCATCATGTGATCTCAGTCTGACTCTGTGATGTTGATCAGGGCTCTGTGAGAGCCATGCCATCTGTTGCAGGACTCAATGTTCTTCTTGTCATTCAAGGTTGGTGTGTGTGTGTGTGTGTGTGTGTGTGTGTGTGTGTGTGTGTTGCAGAATTAACTAAATTTAACAAAAGTTAATCTCAACAGCTGTTGGATTTTTCTACATAGAGCGTTGTGGTGTGAAAGGTTAATATTGTGAGTGTGAGCTGCAGACAGTAGCCAATGAAGTAATCTCTATCACCAACAAATAGAAATCCTGACATTTAGTTTACCAAAGGTCCCAGGCCTGGATGTTTATTTTCTAAAACACTAATGCAGGTCATTATGGACACCAAGAGTGGGTGTGGCTGCTCGTGTACATATATTATTTCTGTCTGCATATCTCAGGGTCACGACCTCATTTTCTTGTTAGCTCCCAGTAATAACTATATGAGTCACAAGATGTTTGATGGCACGCAAACTGAAGCTCCTTGACTCAACCGAGTCAAAGCCAAAGTTGTGGTGGGCAGATAAAAGTCATCACCTTTGGCTCTTTGCTGTGGTCCTCGGGTCAACCCTCAGCAGGGTTATGGTGTGGTTTGGTGTGATAGCTTTCTGGGGGAGTACCATTTCCACGAAAGAGGGTATGCTTGCTCTGCGACACCGTTTAGTTGATCCGAATCAAAGGAGCATCTGCATAAATGCCATACACCGCTGTTTCCAAGCAGGATATTTAAAAAAGTTATAAAGGCGTGATTGATTGTTATTCAACTCGCTATTGTTTTAATGTTGTTGCTGATTGTTGTGAGCTTTTATGTGTGCAAAGAAATAATTGCACCTTAACTTGTCCCGGGAATATCACAGGAAAGAAAACCTCTTTGTATTTATTAATGATAAAAATCCTTTGACCTTGTCTCTTGACTTGTGTTGTTTGGAAAGGCGCAGTCCTATTTCTCATATTTAATTTCGGCCCCGCTGGCTTCCATTGAATTTCATATGACAAACAACTTCAAGTGGCTTCTTCCTGTTTCACTGAAATCTCCAGCTGTCTTGACTGAGCAGCTGTGCCTCTTCAGCCACAAGCACGGTCTACATTGCTCTAATGCTTTTTATATTGAGTCCATTGCTACAAACTCTAGCAATGCTCTCACACACTATCCAAAGGTCTGCAGTGGCTCTCTTATCAATGTTTGTTTATTACACACATCAGAGCCCAGCGAACCTTGGCTGGACACTTGCACTGCCTTCATTGTGGAAATGGAGAGCACAAATGTACTGACAGCAGTCTCTCAAGTTCAGTATGATTTCAGTTTAATCGTCACAATCAGACGTGTTGAACGCTTCAGATGAATGCGAAGAAGTGAACATGACATCACCCTGACTGAGAGTCAACAGAAGACCTGTTGACTCTCTACAAATCATGCAACTCTTCCAGGCTTACGCTCTCAGGTGTTAAGAGTTCACAAAGAAGTCACAGCTTTTGACTGTTATTACTGACTGATATTATTCTGCAGATCAAACCGATGTAATGAGAAACGTTGACAATTTTAGTAACATACAAAAACAACATACAAATGGAAAGAAAAGCTTGTATTTGCCTTGAACTGGTGCAAAAAAAATGATAGAAATTAGAAAGTGATGTGCATTCTCAATTTAAATGTTGCCACAAAACAAATGAAAAAAGTCATACATTACTTGGAAAGACCTGAATTAACATCCCACAATTAGCTGCATTAACTGTCAGTGGATCAGCAACATGATTATTAGAGATTAAAATGTGAAGAAATCATTATAGAGTATTTGAGAGCGGCTGAAGCTTATTATTTATCAGACCATGAAATCCTGCATAGGCAAACAGTTTAATGATATTTTTTCGACATAATCCAGCCATGCGGTTCTGTTCCCTCATGCAGCACTGCTAGCTGTACTTGTGTGTGTGTGTGTGTGTGTGTGTGTGAAAGTCTTTTTCAAATCATGGATGGTGGGTTTTTAAAATAAAGAAAAGATGGACTATTGAGCCTGTTATCAGCCCTTTGTTCAAAAGTCAGCATCCATGACGGTACACTTAGAGCTGTAGTTTATTGGATGAATATAGAAAGTCTATAGTTTTTAGCGGATTTTAGACCAGTGAAGGGTTTAACACAAATTTTGCTTGAACTGTTTGGAAATTGCGAGCGTTTTTATACATGGTCCCCCAATTCTAGAGACTCCGAAGTGATTGGACAAACAGAATTTCAAATTTCATAATTATTTTAAATATTTGGATGAAAATATTCTGCGATGTTATGCTTTAGCTCATTCATTCATTTTGGAAATGAAGTTTTCCAGCATTGAATCTGAATTTGAGGAGAGAATAGCTGCTCTATGGGCGATAAATACTAGTGATCTGGTTCCACTCACAGCCATACACGTCCATGCTATAACATTTCCTCCACCGTGTTTGGCAGATGTATTTTATGAGGTTTGTCTCGGATCATCAGCTGTTTTTCTCCTGAGATCTTTCAGGTCTTTTTAGTGTTGCTGAGCTGATCAGTTCCTTTATTTCACGATTGTTGTTTTGGCCACTCCTAAATTTTTTGCTGTCTCTGATAGGTTGGTTTTTCAGCTTAACGATAACCTGCCTTCACTTGCACTGACAGCTCTTTGGGCCCCATTTGAAATTAGATTGAAAACCTTTGAATCAAATTCAAATATTATGTCTGCTTCATTCTGACATTAAATAAGAAGGGGACAGGCCTCACATGGCCCTCAAACTGTATCAATTACTTTTAAGCCTGTGAAAATGGGGGAAATGTTATGATATGTGCTACATATCTGGCGGTGTTTTTCAAGTATTTCCTTGCTTAATTTTGTAAGATGATACAAACCACATTCTGAAGGTCACAACGGATGAACTGAAAACATTTGGAGCATTGCGAAGTGGAAAAATGCAGCAAAGAACGCCCTGAACTGTTGAAACCTCATATCAAGCAAAAGGAGGTCATGCAACACAATGGTAAACGTCCCTCTGCCCTCAACGTTTTTTGAAACATCCTTGCATTAAATTTAAAGGAAGTGTATTGTATTGTCTCAACATTTGATATTTTGCCTTGCTGATGTACTCACTGTATACAACATGTCAACTTTTGTGGACCAGGGTTGTAAATGACAGGCACAGATGAAACTTCAGAGGAGCGTTTCCTTTTTTTTTTTAACCTCCACATACCTGGACACTTGCACATGGTAACAGTAAAAGACAGTCCAGGTCTCCAAAGCTAAAAGATTAAGTAGATGTTTATTTCAAAGCTAAATGTATAAAAGTTACAGATGGGTGTCTAAGATGAACTGCTCCTTTAACAGTTTCTGGCCCGTCTCAGGTTCCTGGAGGCTTTCTTCTTTTCCAGAACATTCTCATACTCGTCCACTGGTTCCCTAGATCCCAGACATACATGCGTGTGTTGTTGTTTGTTATGTAAGCTCCGTTCTCACCATCAGAAAGAAATCTCCAGGGATGGATACAGAAAAAGAGTGTGTGCCGTTTTCACTTAATCCTCACTTCCTGTATTAGGATCCTCAGAATGAGCATTAACGCAGAGTCAGCAGTGAGCAGGAAACTCACTCGCACAGTATTACTATCATCACACACAGCTGTATGTGTAATAGGATGTTCTATACTCATGAGTTGTGAGTGACAGCCTGATCTGCAGCTTATTTTAACCTCCTCGGACCCTGTATCCACATATGTGGACATCACAATTTGGGTTATTTAGACTAAAATACTCAATTTTGCTCTACATGGGCCTGATATCCACTTACGAGGACATTATACTGCTACTGTTCTATCAAAATTTTAAACAAATCCTCATATGTGGCTCTTATTTTTCTTAAAAACAAAAATAAGGTTAAAAAAAATATCAAAGAGAAATTAAAAATGCATGTCGTGAAAGAGTTCGGGTCTTAGGAGGTTAAAGGTGCATTAATTGGTTTTGGGTTTTTTGGGCCACTTTGGGGTAAAAACAAATTTTAGGAAAGGCCAACGTCCACATCTGCATCATTGCATAGGGTCTTTTTGCTTAGTTAGTTTATGCTAACCTTGACTGACTCAAGCTAAACGTCTTCCAGTAGCCTTGTATACTTTGTGGTTGACTACAGAGTACAGAAACTGTAGCAACTAGCCTGCTATGTATGGTTTTGCCTGAAATATTGGCTAGATGTTTGGAGTAAAATTATCATTGTTATCCACTCGTCCAGAACATGCACTGATTCAAACCAGATTAAATAAACTGTAGGTGTGAAAGCACACTGAAACAGAACCCAGGAGCTAAAGCAAGCTAAAACATCAGAGATGCTGAGTAAACTCTAAGCTACAACTTGGCTTTTGCTTTTAACTTTTTATGTGAGAGCACCATCAAATGTACACATCCAGTTATGATGTGTTTACTTTTACCTCTGATGCAGTATAAATAAATGTTGTTGTTGTTTTGGCTTTGCAAGTCAGAGGTGAGGGAAATATAAGTTAGCAGATCTGTGTTTCAGGTTGTTACATAAAAGCGAGAAACAACATGTTCACATAAAGACAGGAGACAGAAGTCGGTGTTTTTATAACAGACTGATGAGTATTTAGACAGTGAGAGACAGGAAAGTATGCAAGTCATCATCCTGTTAGAAATAAGACTGACAGCTCGACTTGCACAACCCCAAGAGGAGGGAGGAGGAGGAAGGAGTGGCGGAGCTGACGTCCGTGTTCAGCTTTTGATGTTTTTCATTTCTCAGAATAGTTCTTCAATTCAAAACATTCATTTTGTTTAAAACCAGATTTTTAACAATAGCAATTTCTCTGAAGAATGAAGTCCTGCTGTGGAATCACTCCACCATTCACTCCTTTATTTCTGCTCATCTAATAAACACTTGTATAGTGAGCTCTATTTTAGAGCAAAGGCCAAACTCATGACTGTCAACTTTCATCTGTAACAGGCTGAAATTACATTTATGGAGCTTTACTGAGAATCTGATGAAAACATGTCCGTTTCATTTTTAGAGCCTAGAGCACACATTTAGCTTGTAACAATACAAAAGCAGGGGAAACTGAAAAAAAATCCATAGTTTCTGGCAGTTGCTGTTCGTGTCTCTGGTCTCCTGCAGTGTCACAGCTCTGGTGTCTGGTTTTCTGAAACTGTGAATCTCCTGAGATGATTTTTTTTATTTTATTTTACTCAGCACTATGCAGGATACAGAAATCTATACTTTAAGATCTTTTTCACTTAAAAAAGCAAATTGGTCATTGCTTTGTAGTTGGTTGATGCTTTACGCCCTTAAAAAAAAAAGTGGTTTGTTCTGTTGAACAGGGTCAGCATAAATTCATGGCTACAGTCTGTCCTGTGCCAGCAGTCCAGGCTGGAAGCCTTGCACATGTCCTTTTCTTTCTTTGTTTTCCTGCTGTTCTCTCTCTCTGGAGCGGTGTGTTATGACTAGGGATGGGTATCGTTTAGGTTTTATCCAATACCAGCGTTTATTACTGGGTCCCTCTTCTTCAGAGGAGAAGACTGCTCGTCTCCTCCTCCCTTTCGTCCTCCTTTTGCTCCTCCCTCTACTTCTCAGACGCAATTATAAAAAGTTAGAAAAAAGCCAAATCACTAACACTTTGGAGTAACACAAATATTGGTCAAACAACTACTAAAATAACTATTAAACTATTAAAAACTATTTAAAAAAAAAACAAAAAACCACCTGTCAGGAGTAGGGATGGGTATCGTTTAGGTTTTATCCGATATCGGTGCCAAACCGGTATTTTTGAAACAGTGCCGGTGCTTAAACGGTGCTTAAACCGGTGCTTAAAGAATGGAAAACACAAACTTTGTCCAAGAACCTCTCATGTTTAACTGTTTTCCACTTTTTCTTTGGTCACTTTAGCCTTTTTGGCCAGGGTGAAGGGAGTATCTGCCATCAAACAAGAAGACAGCCGCATGTAATTACGACGGTGTTTGCTAGTTCACCTTACATGCATTAATTTAATAACGTAGTTAGCCCACTCAGCGTAAATTACACACGAACAACATTAAGCTACTCACGCAGAGAAGAACGGCTGCTGCTGCCATCATCATCCTCATCATTTCTGCTACACTGGCAGGGCTAGGGGCCAGGACTCTACTCTTCGTGTTTTTGGGGGATGTTGCTAACTCCGGGTCCGATAACAGGCACCACACCCGCAGTAGATGTGCTCGGTGTGAGGTCTTGCAGCAAGCTATCAAATACGGCGCATTTCTCGGCTTTTAAAAAAAAACGTTATGCGTCGCCAGGTGTTTCATCGGATTCGAGGTGTTACCTCCTTTGACAGTATCACAGTATCAGCTTAAAGCACTTGTTGCAGGCTGCGGAGTTTGCATATTTTGCTGTGAAGTACAGCCAGACTTTTGACCGCTTTGCCTTGGTCATTTTTTAACCTGTAGCTCTGCTCTAAAAGAACGTACGTACCTGGCCCCGCCTACTATCCTCGGAAACGTAAAATGATTGGCTAGAATGTCAAAGGAGCTTGCAAAGAAAAGCGTCTGGACTTCTTTAAGTTGCTTGAAGACGTTTCACCTCTCATCCGAGAAGCTTCTTCAGTTCTAAAGTCAAATGGTGGAGAGTCCCAGATATAAACCTAGTGGGAGTGACCCCCCACAGAGGGACAGAGGGGAGGGGTCACTCCCACTAGGTTTATATCTGGGACTCTCCACCATTTGACCTTAGAACTGAAGAAGCTTCTCGGATGAGAGGTGAAACGTCTTCAAGCAACTTAAAGAAGTCCAGACGCTTTTCTTTGCAAGCTCCTTTGACTACGATGACCTGGATGACTGATTACCTTCACAGACAGATTGGCTAGAATCTAAAGTGTATCACAGCTCAGGAAAAAAAAGCACCGAAATGTGCGCTGCTTTTCGGTCTGGTTACTACCGTTTATGTCAGAACGATACTGGTACCCATCCCTAGTTATGACCGTCTTGTCTGCCTTCTTTCTCAGGTCGTTTCCGTCAGATCGAGGTCTTGACAACAGTAGCGAACGAGTTCTTCCAGCTCTACAGTCAAGTTTCTGGGCAGCCGGTCCAGCGGATCAGCACTACGGATCAAGGTAATGACGACAACAACAACAGAAAGTCCATTGAAGGACTGTTTTAGTCTGGACCGGCTGAGCAGCGCAGAGAGTCGTGCACAAACACTAATCTGACTTTTACTGCTGTGGAGGATGTTTACAATAAAATGTACTTAATATATTACAGTGGGCTTATTTAACTGAAGTCATCAGACTAGAAAAACACTGATAAAAATCACTAGCTGAATAGTTGGGTAGCCCTATACTTGATACTGAAAGCAAAGTCCATATGGTTTTTAGTCATATCTGGTCAACTTGATGCTTTAACAAGGATCACTTTACATAATAGACGATGAACAGACATTTTTAAATAAGACATGATCAGCACCCTTGCCTCCTGACTAGGGATGGGTACCGGTATCTGGTTCTGACATAAACGGTAGTAACCAGACCGAAAAGCACCGCACATTTCGGTGCTTTATTTCGGTGCTTTTTTTTCCTGAGCTGTGATACACTTTGGATTCTAGCCAATCATTTTACGTTTCCGAGGATAGTAGGCGGGGCCAGGTACGTACGTTCTTTTAGAGCAGAGCTACAGGTTTAAAAATGACCAAGGCAAAGCGGTCAAAAGTATGGCTGTACTTCACAGCAAAATATGCAAACTCAGCAGCCTGCAACAAGTGCTTTAAGCTGATACTGTGATACTGTCAAAGGAGGTAACACCTCAAATCTGATGAAACACCTGGCGACGCATAGCGTTTTTTTTAAAAGCCGAGAAATGCGCCGTATTTGATAGCTTGCTGCAAGACCTCACACCGAGCACATCTACTGCGGGTGGGTTGCCTGTTATCGGACCCGGAGTTAGCAACATCCCCCAAAAACACGAAGAGTAGAGTCCTGGCCCCTAGCCCTGCCAGTGTAGCAGAAATGATGAGGATGATGATGGCAGCAGCAGCCGTTCTTCTCTGCGTGAGTAGCTTAATGTTGTTCGTGTGTAATTTACGCTGAGTAGGCTAACCACGTTATTACATTAATGCATGTAAGGTGAACTAGCAAACACCGTCGTAGTTACATGCAGCTGTCTTCTTGTTTGATGGCAGATACTCCCTTCACCCTGGCCAAAAAGGCTAAAATGACCAAAGAAAAAGTGGAAAACAGTTAAACATGAGAGGTTTTTGGACAAAGTTTGTGTTTTCCATTCTTTAAGCACCGTTTAAGCACCGGCACTGTTTCAAAAATACCGGTTTGGCACCGATATCGGATAAAACCTAAACGATACCCATCCCTACTCCTGACAGGTGTTTTGTTTTTTTTTGTTTTTTGTTTTTTTAATAGTTTTTAATAGTTTAATAGTTATTTTAGTAGTTGTTTGACCAATATTTGTGTTACTCCAAAGTGTTAGTGATTTGGCTTTTTTCTAACTTTTTATAATTGCGTCTGAGAAGTAGAGGGAGGAGCAAAAGGAGGACGAAAGGGAGGAGGAGACGAGCAGTCTTCTCCTCTGAAGAAGAGGGACCCAGTAATAAACGCTGCCAAAATCCTCACGAGAAGCATTAGCAGACGCAACTTGTTCTCGTCCAACTCAGAGTCGACGGAAGCCCAAACGCCTAACCAGCAAATGCTAACCAATGGACATGAAGCTCCTGCTGACGCACCAGCGTCAGCAGAACAGGACGGATCCAGTACCAACTCTCACCACCAGGCAGAGGTGGTTAGCCCAAAACACATGCGCAAGAAAGACAACTGTCCCCTCGCGACAGTTACAGAGGAAACCAGTGGGGATGGAGAGACAGGTTCCCTAACAGACAACAGGTATCATTACTTAATGCATATAAACCAGTTTGAAGTTGTGGATGACACATATAGATCGATATTGAAGCCAGTGGTTCTCAAACTTTGTCAGACCTCAGTAATATCGGTCTGTCCAGTTAGGAATCATATTACATTGTGAATCCATTTCACCTGCTTTAGTACAAAGAACAGTGACAGCAGGTGTGATGGAGAGGCAACAAATGAGACAAAAGGGAAATACTTAGCAAGTGGTGCCCACAGACCATTTCTAGTTTTGCTTTTTGCTACCGTTAATCCTGTAGCAAATAAGATATTAGATGGTGTCCTGGGGATCTCTTTCCAGATCTGGATCAGAGCATTAGTGAGCTCCTAGACGGTCTGTCTCTGGTTTCAGATGCACCATAACATCTCAGATGTTCTCAATTGGATTCAGGTCTGAGGAATGTGACGGCTAGTCAGTGCCATCAGTTACTGTCATTCAGGAATTGCAGACATGAGGCTGGGCATTGTCCTGTACAAGGAGTAACCCAGGTGTCACTGAATCATCTCAGGTAATAGATGTGAGGATTGCATCCCCGCACATAACTGCAGTCAGAGTACTCCTAGCTAGCATGTAAAGATCTGTACCACTCTCCAAGAATAGGCTTCCAAAGACCATCATTAACCATCATAATCGCGCTGGATGATGATGCAGGCATCATTTCACATCTGGTATTTCTGGTATTCATGATTCAGTATTGACTCGTGGCCTTATCCCTTGCCCACAGAGACTCCTGCAGATTATCAGAATTAGCCTGTGCTTATTTTTTACTTCTGAGAATCAGATTAAAAAAAAAAAAAAGAGCTAGTATTTTTTTCTAAAATGCCACAATTTCTCAGTGCAAACATTAGCTATCTTCTACAGTGAATAAAATATGAGTTTGAGATTTGTGAGTCAACGTATTCTACTTTTATTTACATACAGAGTATGAACCCTTTTTGTAATTGGGTTTATAAATAGAAGTGACTAGAATGACTAACAAGAAAGTTTCCATTTAAAACTATTCCTCTGAATGACTTAAAATGTATTATTCACTGAATCACACAGAAGAAAAATATTTGTAAAGTACCTCAAATTTGGGATGTAATTTTTGTCATATTAGCATCCTGGTGCTACTCATAGCATCAGTGTTTTAATTCAAAACACGTAAGCTGCTGTTAATCTCTCTCATGTATTTATTAATAACCGATATCAGACTCTTCATGAAGTATGAAACTTCACTGCCAGCTTGAATCCATGCATCCAAAGCTGCAGTACTCATACATAAGCTCCCACTGTCCCAGTTTGCTCAGACGTCAAGCTAAGGTTATATAAATAACTGAATAACAAAATATTCTACCAGTTACTTCTCAGTTGACTAACTTCTACTTCCCATCAGACCTGAACAGCACACCACCGACCCAGACCTTCAGTCAACCAACCAGGGAACAGGGGAAGGCACTCAGGTGGTTAAAGAGGTGGAGAAAAGAAACTCCACCCCAGAGAAAGCTCCTCACACCCTGGCTCCGCCACGGCCGGCACATCTTCGCACAGAAAACGCAGACTCTTTTGAAATAGAGGAGGTACGGGTTTCTCTGGGGGCTTCATACTCCTTGGTCAAATTAGTGGGTGACCTCTTTCCATGGGCATGTTACAATGTTGTCACCAACTACTATTTAGCTGTTCCTGTGTTTGTGATGGTGTCCCAGGTAGAGCAGGGCGATATGGCCAAAAATATTTATCACGATATATATATTTGAAAATTTGCGATAACGATATAACCGACGATATAATTGATGCGAGACAAACTACAACTCCACAACATTACTAGCGCAAAAAGACAACCTTCCATTTATTTTCACTTAAACAAGAAGCTGGTTTTTATGTACATTAAAGCTTTATAAAAATGTAACAGTGCAAATGCAAATTCCTTGCTGAAAGTTTAACCAAAAGGCATTTCCAGTAGAAATGGGCTGACATATCCTGAGCATAACCATGTATAATATCCACTGAAGTTAAAAAGAGGTGCTTTGCAACATTAAACTGCAGTGTGCAGTACGCATTTTTCGGACCATAAGGTGCACGGGATTATAAGGCACATTAAGCGAAACAAAGCAGTCAGATAAATCAAACTTTATTAAACTCATTCTTCTTGCTTCCTCCACTTCTGTACCATTGATTCATTAATGTTGAATTCTCTGGCAGCTGCTCTATTCCCATGTTGTTGCAGTATATTAATGACTAACCTCGTATTTTGGATGGATTATCTCAGTTGTTCTCCTGACTGAAGTTTGGTCCGTTTACAGCATCCTGCCATGCGATTGCATTTGTCTCTAACCATGAAGAACCTTCACGTTAACTTTTATAAGTGGAAAAGTGTTAGTGTTCGTCCTCCAGCTTCACTGTTTATGTTATGCTAACATAGCTGTGTCGCTAGCGATCACGTAGCACATCATTATATACCAGCTAGCCAAACTTCAGTAACCCTACAAACGTCACTGCTGTTTAGTTTCCTGTCTTCATTTATGTTGGAAGTGATAGCAGAGCTGTACGTTTGAATTTTTTCAGAAATCTCTCAGTCAGAACATGCTATATCATGCTTAGGTAACTAGCGAAACTAGCGAGCTAACTTCCGCTAGCTTCCTGCTAACTTCTAACTCCGTTAAATGTAATAACTTTTGTTTTCATGGATGCCTGGAAGTTAAACTTTATAGTTACACCTGGTAAAGCAGCAATGCTGATCGTTTTATTAAGGATGAAAGAATTTAGACAGTTTTTAACTCTAAGTGATGCTGCAGTGTTGTTTGATCTGAAGAATACGGAGTTTAGGACCCAGATTACTCCCAGATTTAAGAGCATCTTAGAACGGCCGCTTGCATGTTCTGCAAAAAAATGTGCTTTGTCGTGTATCTGACGGACAAACACCAAACCAGTTCCACATCACGGAAGTTGCACCATTTTTACAAACCAATTCTGGTTCATCTGTTTCACTCAACAATCGGCCATGTGCGTATGAAAACAAAGGCACTGCGCATGCGCGTTTTACTCCCATTCTATCGCGATATTTCATTTTCCTATCGTTGCCTAACATTATACCGGTATTACCCTGAACGGTATAATATGGCCCAGCCCTAGTCCCAGGTTACCAAAGCCATTTCACATTTACATGTATGCTGTCGGTTCTCACAGACTGGTTCCCTTGTAGGCTGTTAGCCAGTGGGCATGGCTTGGAACGATACTCTAGGATTCAAATTCATGCAAATAAAGACAAAAATCCTCTACTTACTGTAATACGCTGGCAGAAGTGAAATTTTATGCATATTTAGGCTATACTTTAGACCTCAGAACCAGCTGTTCACAACAGCTTACGTCATCGGGGGGGTAAAAAAACAAAAAAACTCTTGAAGACAGAAAAGGGACACATGGGTGTCAGGTAGATGAGAACCCGTGTCCACTGGTCTTTGCAGCTTTAGAAAAACGAGCTTGTTGACACACGTTGCCTGAATCTGCTCAGTGAAGCGGAGTAGTTGGTAAAAAGCCTGAGCTTTTATTTAGGGGAAGGACTCTGTTCAGTTCTTTCTTTCTCCTAAAACTCAGCCTGTTTTTGTCCTGTAGATTAACGAAGACGAGGCTAACCCACACAGGACGTCTAGATCGGGAGGTGAGCGCTGACTTGAGTTTCTGAGTGACCTTATCGTTTCACTTGCATTTTTCCTTTAAGCAAGCAGATGGTCATGTTTGTATTCAGTGCTTTTCAGTAAAATGCAAATGTGTACTGTGTCTGTGAGGGCTGACTGACTGAATGCATTTCATTCCTTGTGGAACACTCACCAAGATACGTTTGAATAATACAAAAATTTCATTGTTTAGATCAGGGGTCTCGAACTCCAGGCCTCGAGGGCCGGTGTCCTGCAGGTTTTAGATGTGTCCTTGATCCAACACGGCTGATTTAAATGGCTAAATTACCTCCTCAACATGTCTTGAAGTTCTCCAGAGGCCTGGTAATGAACTAATCATTTGATTCAGGTGTGTTGACCCAGGGTGAGATCTAAAACCTGCAGGACACCAGCCCTTGAGGCCTGGAGTTCGAGACCCCTGGTTTAGATCGTTTTACTTGAAAATGACGTTTTGAAGAAATCCACGGCTGAAATTTCACTTCTTAACATTTTATTGTCTAAATATCTGTGGACTTTTCTGTCATTAACACCGACTCCCTGTTAAGGTGGATTCTGTTAGAGCCCGTTATGAACATTGTTGTTTATCTTCATTGTCCATATAGTCACACCATTGTTTGTAAGAAGTGCGAGCCCATCTTTTAATCCTTAACTAGCCAGATCGAGTACATAAAACTATATATAGTTCACTGGAGTTCCAAATCAAACACTCCTATTGATGCTTGAATCTGATGATGCTTTAAATATGCAACATGATAAGATCTCATAGAAAAACATTGTTGAAATCTTAAAAGAACTCTTTCATTATAAATGGGGGGGAAAAATTGGTGGGGCTTTTTTATTTATAGGATTTCTAACAGAACGTCAGAAAGTTTTGTTTTAAATTCTTTAACTGCTTGGTAGTAAATCATGCAACAAACCAGTGGAGTGTCGTTTTTTTCCCCCCAATTAAAATTCAGAGTTCAGCAGCTTCCTGCAGCCCTTCTTTATCTGCTTTGATCCACTTAAAAGCCTTGTCTTTCTTTCCATCTTAATGTGTTTTTATTCGGTATGAACTAAGAATCTCGTTTCCTTTAGACATAGAATTTCTACACAGCTTCTTGTTGCACGCTAACATGTTTTCTATGAATGAGTCTGCTCTGCCACCTGCAGGACAGATCGGGTAATGCAGGAAGAAATAAAGCTGTTTATTTCCCCTTTCTCTCTTTCTAGTAGACCTCTCGAGGAGAGACAGCCTACAGTCTGACAGCAGCGGCTATGCTGAGGAGCCTTCTGCTGATCTCAACAGCCACCTTAAGGTCTGTTTGTTTGTTTCTCATTCTTTTTTTTTTAAGTCTCTTCTGTGCATCCCTCCTATTTTTCTTTTTCATGACCGTCACCTTCAGACTTATTTGAAATGAATCATGAAAAACCAGACAAAACTTAGTCAAAGCAGGAGAAGAATCACAAGCAGCGTAATCAAATGTGGCCTAGAACGCTTATTTTATTCTCTTATTTAAAGAAAAAAAAAGTACTCCTATGTAATCTAACATAAATCAGATTTAGCAAGTAGGAACTGAGCATTCAGTGGTAAGAAAGCACCAATATAAATCAAGGTGTCCTGATTGAATAAAATAGCAGCTCTAATGACTTTGACTCTAATTGGAGACTAAAACGTGTGCAAGTAATACGTCTTTTGGTCGCACATGGGAATTTTGGATTACAAAGATTACTGCAGAGCACATTTCAAAAGTGCAACCATCAGAAAATTGCAACCACAAAAATTTAGTCACTGTAACCTGAGAATTTGATTTTGTAATGCTGTATTTTATGTTTCTACTCCTCTTCATTGTGGGGAAATACTATACCCTTTCACTATTAGTTATATATTTTTCAATATTTATGATTATTTGGGATTTAAGTATAATTTGAATTAATTGTAATCAGGTGCAGGTGAGTAGTGACAGCTGTGACAGCGAGACCACTGTGACGTCGCACCCTTCACAAGACGTGGCTACTCCCCTTGCAATGGACAAGCCGGCATTTGACCTGCCAGATGGTAGAGAGGAAGAGGCGAGGCCAGGTGAAGCTGCAGAGTCGGATCGAAGTAACGGCTCCAGGGAAGAGCACATGGATACAGAGACTTCAGAGCAGATTCCACAGTACACAGCTCACCATCTGCCCAGGAGCAGGCCAGTAGAAGTACAGCAAGATGAAACTTTGGGTAAGGAGAATGTTGAGAGATGTGACCGGACTGATCCTGATCCTGATCCAGAGCCTGAGTCTGCTCAGAGTATGCCTGCTGCAGAACAACAAGCACAGCCAGAGTCAAAGGAACCCCAACATGATTCAGAGCAAGGACCAGAGCACACTCAGAACCCGACAGAAACTGAAGGAGACACAGATACATCCACAGAGAAAACGAGTGGTGAGAACAAAGTCAAAGTAGAGCCTGTGTTCTTGGATGAAGCTGAATCACATTGTCCTGTGGCTCCAGCTTCTCTGGTCCATAGTGCTTTAGACCGAGCCAAACAGTCGAACCGTACAGCCTCCCAGAGACGTGGCATCTCCATGCAGAGGTCCTCTTCCTTGCCCTCTTCACTCCTTTCGCCCTGCAAGATTGTATCATCTGTCAGGATCCAGTTTGGGCAAGGCCTGGCGTCCTGCACCCAGCCCAAGTACTCCTTTAAATACACCCCTGAGCCTGAGGACAAGGAAGAAGAAGAAGACGGAAGAGAGGAGAAGGAAGATGAAGAAGTGGAGGAAGAACCAACCAACTGCCTGTCAACTCTGATCATAAATCCTGCCTGCTCATCTAGCTCCAAAAAAAAATCACCAGCTGTCTTTCCACCTAAGCCCATACCTCGGTATCTGATGCGGCCATCCTATTCCCTACAAAGCCCCAGCCCTCCTCCTGATTGGCCATCAGGAGTAAATGCCGAATCTTGGAGCACCCAGAGTGTTCCAGATTTGTCGTCCAATCCGCAGCAGCCTGGCCACTTCCAGCAAAACATGAATGCCTACCGAAACCAGCAAAGTTTGAATCCAGAGGAGAATCTGTTCTCTGATTCTCACCGTTCAGCTCAATACCCCTGTCCCAGTCCAAATCTTAATCAAAGATCTAACTCCAGCTCACATCCCTTCATGTCGAACCCTGCTTTGCAGTACACCCCTCCTCATCTACACGGTAGTCTTCCTAACCTCCACCATCACCACAGCCCTTCAGTGAACCACCGTTGTAGTCTAACCAGTCTCCTTCAGCCTTCAACTTCCCCAGGCCCCCAGCATGACAGCATCTCCAACTTGCATCCTCTTTCAACTCCCACATCTCCTCACCACATCCCTTCGGGTCACTTGCATCCTGGACCTTCTGGAATGTATCACCCGGTCTATAACCATCAATACAGTCACCAGCAACCCTACCAGCTCCCTCCTCAAGGCTCACAGTTTGGCTCGCCCTACTTTAGTCATCAAGGCTACAACCCGTACCTGTCATTTCCCCACCACACCCATCTCCATCCGACAGTGTCCCCAGAACACAGTCTGCATCCAGGGCTGGCTCCTCCTCCTGGCTTCCACATAGGCATGGGTTTGGCCCTTAGCCCAGGTCACAACCTCCATCCAGGGCTTCGTGATGCTAATGCTCCAGGTCCAGGACCCGGCCAGAGCCCATCTAGCACAGAGATGCAGCTAAGGAGAGTCCTGCATGAGATCCGGGGAACAGTTCAGAGTCTGGTCAGTCCTCCTCAGTCACACTGTCTTATCACCCTGTTAATTAAGGTTTAGTCTGGAGTTTGTAGTTCTTCTTCTTATTCGGAGTTTCCCTTCTTATGTTGTTATCGCTGTTCTCCTCATCTAGAACCGAGCCGATACTCCAGACATGTTCAGTGAGCCCAGAGCAACTCTGCCTAATCACCAGGTACCGTCATCTCCTCTGATGCCTGCGTAGCTTTCTCTATTTTGGCCACATAGAACGTTTGTATGTTAAATCAATAAAACAGTGTTTGTTCCCGGATATAGCCTTCAGTATTTAAATGTTGCTTTTCGATTCCACTGAAAGCAGCAAGTGTTTTTTGGGTGTTTTTTACTGGCTCATTATTTACATGTAAGAACCTTGTGTTCCATATTTACATATTTTCCATTGCATGACTGAAAACCTACACACTCTTAGTTTTCAGTGCTTGTTCTTCCAACCAGAAAGCGCTGGAGCAGACCGTTGTCACTATCAGTAAATGTGTGATTCACTGTGCGCCCGTCTCTGGTTTTAGACTTTGGCAGAGTTTCAGCAGAAGAGGCGGAGCCTGAACTTGTTCCGCAGTCAGATGATGGATCTGGAGCTGGCAATCATCCGACAGCAGGCTCCGGTCTACAATCACCTGAGCCCTGCTGACAGGTGACTCACAAAAGCAAACAGAAATGTGACGGTGCCGTGACACCGCAATGCAAAGCAAACCTGGAGAGTGTGTTTGTGTGTGTTTGTTTGCAGGCTGGAGTTGGAGCAGCTTCAATCTCTGAGGTCAGCGGTCAGAGAGGAACTGCAGGAGCTTGAACAGCAGCTGGAAGACAGACTGGAGCTGACGCACCGCACGCAGCACAGAGTAAATGCACACCAGAGGATTTGTGTAAAACAGCTATTGTCATGCTTTTTGTGTTAAATTCTGGGGGAAAAAACACCTGAAACATCAGATCTGTAAAATGGCACAAATATATGTAAAAGAAAAGTGTCATGGAAGAGTACTAAAGTACAGCGACACAACAAAGGACGTGGGGCTAAAAAGTCCCCACCGGCCCCCTCAGAATTAGCTAGGCTGGTATAAATATATAGTTAAAAAGGAGGCCTTTCATATGCTGTGACTTGTTTTCACCAGCCACCTAAGCCACATGAGGATACAGCACTTCAAAGTTTACCCCATTAAAAGTCATTAAATCAGTGCAGTTTTGCTACTGAAACTACGATATATTCCATGATACTGAAGCATAAACATAATATTTTATGTTTTTGCTAAATAATTTTGTACAAAAATTGTCAACTGATTCTGAGAGAAAAGGCAGAAGGCCTGTTATATTAGTTTGTTGTAATACTGCCATTGTTCTTTTCCTCAGGGTCTTCACAGAGACTTCAGTGTTGAAAGTCTGTCCACCGCCTCTGCGTTGAGAGCCATGGAGCCGGTCAGCGCGCGCGCGCGCACACACACACACACACACACACACACACACACACACACACACGCAATGTTTTTGTTACATAAAGCTGAAAATACTAATGTCTTAACCTTTTCCTGCCCGTCTTTCCTATCTGTCCAGGTGTCAGACCTCCTCAGAGAGCAGCTCTTCCTGCAGTCAGAGATCGGCTCTGACCGCCACTCCTCCTACACAAACCCCTCCCCGAGGTCAGTCAGTCCAGTGAGAGAAGATCAAGGAGGAGGAGATGGCAAACAGAAGCAAGGAATGTATCGGGCATCGATTAATATAACCCCTGCGCCCCCTCCTCGACCCAACGTACACACTGAGGAAACTGAGGAGGAGGAGAGAGCCAGTGATGGAGCAGCATTAGCAGCAGGAGGAGGTGGCAGAGGAGAAGCACCAGAGGTGGAGGAAGGAGCAGCGGGGGAAGTCAGAGTGGATAGCCTGCAGCAGCTCATCAAAGAGGTAATGGTTTAAAGCAATTTATTCGAAGCCAAGATTGAGGTCAGGAAATTCATTTGCAGCTCAACTTTTTGGGATCACACTCTGGAATTCCTGCCCGACATATCGTAGCTTTCCTCTTTGTTAAGCGCGAGGACCAGCTGCCCAAACAATGTTGTTGACTCAGTGTTGCTGCTTCTGTTATTATGTTTATAGAGGAAAAAACATTTACAAATGAAGTTACAGATGCTCGTAGGTCTCACCAGAGACTGTAATTGCACTCTCGGCTTAACAATGATTAATAAATATTTATTAAAGTCAATAATAAGTCAGTAGCAAGGGGTGTGAAGTGATGCATGAATGCATTAGCAAGTGTGACGTGTGTGTGTTGTACATGGAAAACCAAACCAAATGACAACGACAACTAAACAAACAAAGCAGCGCGTGGCTTGGAGGCGGAGTAGTCACAAATCCATAGAAGGCGGTTTAAATAGTCCTTTAACATCGAGCAGGCATTCTGGACTACACACGTGTCCTGTATCTTCACATCCGGTAACAAGGAATCCAGGAGTCAGGCTACAATAGTAGATGTAAATTTAAACAAAAGTCTTTCGTTTTCTGTCTCCAACTATTCAGTTTACAGAGAAAAGCAGCAAATATCCATAAAACATTTTTTGTCCATGGAACCAAAGACCACGAGCAAAAGATGTTTGTTTGTTTGTTTGTTTGTTTGTTTCCTTTGTTTCTGGCTACACAGTCAAGAGTTGAGCAACCATTGGCTCCCTATTAAATCCAGAATCTAATTCAAAATCCTGCTCCTCACATACAAGGTCTTGAGTATTCAGGCTCTATCTTATCTTAAAGATCATATCACTGTATCACCCCAAAAGAGCACTTCACTCTCTCACTGCAGGGTTACTTGTGGTTCCTGGTATATTTAAAAGTAGAATGGGAGGGAGAGCCTTCAGTTTTAAGGCCCCTCGTCTGTGGAACCAGCTCCCAGTTTGGATTCAGGAGACAGAAATACTCTCTATTTTGAATATTAGGCTTAAAACTTCTATTTTTAATAAAGCTGGATCGGGTGAAACTTCTCTTAGTTACACTGTGTCTCTTAGATACACTGAGCGTTTCTCCTTCACTCACCTTGTAGGTTCCTATCTAGATCAGATACTATGACACCATCAGGTTCCTACCTACTGCCCATCAATACGCTAAAATCATAAATCTTTGCAGTAGATATAAAACACCGTATATAAAAACTGAGTCATTTTCATTTGATTTCCAACAGCGTTAGCATGGCAGATAATCTGCTGCTAGTTGCTGATTGCAGTGGGTGGAGTTGTCCTATAAACCCTTTCTTTACAGTGGCTCCACCAAGAGTTATTCCCTAAGTTTGACTCGTCTTATCTTTCATTTCATATTTCTTCTCATTTTTAGGAGATTCTTTTAAAATCGTCAGTTCTTTTCACACCTTATCTTATCCCCCTGTGCTCAACATTTCCAGAGATATAAAAGCTAGATAACAATAAAATGTTGTACTCAGTTTTCTGATTATATAAGGTGTCTTTGCATTAAAAGCTTAAATTAAAGGAGGATTCTCCACAACAATCTGAGGGATCAGGTCAAGTTTTTAAGCACTTTCACCTCTTCTGATTCTTGTTTTCCAGATTCGAGAGAGTGTGGCGCAAGAGGTGCGACGGGAGATCTTCAGCGAGCTCTTGGCTGCCGTTTCACCACGGCCGTCACCGCTACCCGCCAGGCAACCCCCCGTGTAGTCACAGCAACAGCAGAGCACCGCCCCTTTCAATCACAGCCTGAGAGACACCACTGTCTGTCTGTATCACTGTATAGCTGCGTAACACTGTGGAACACAATGTGTGTCTGGTACACTGTACGTCTCTAACACTGATGATGAAACATCACCTGTATGTGAATAGCCCCGCCCCCACCTGGTTGCATCTACTGTGGTGGTCTGATGCTTCTTGGCTATGGCACCCAGAGACATCAACGACATCCCTTCTTCCCTTCCCAAACTGTTGTGACCAAACAGCAGACGCACCTAACTACAACCACTGCCACTTTTGCTAGTTATGCTAGTTATACTAGTATACTAGTTTGCTCACACCTGCCAGTATGACCACTACTAATCCCAGTTCTGTCAAATCTCCTCTGATCCCAGCAGGAAATCAGATGACACTAGCAGAAGACATGTTTGGATAATTGTATTTAAAGAAATCATAGAGCTGAACTGTGCAGCTGCACATAATACTAATCACAATGATCTTGTCCGTGATCACCTTCAAAGAACAATGTAAGATTACTGAATGTAACCAACTGTGGCATCAGTGTTCAAAACCTCAGCAGTTAAAGCGTTAGTTCAGCCCAGTCGGCCACAACATTAGAACCACCGCTCATCTCGGTGCAGCGAGGACGTTGTGACAAGTGCACTGCAAACACTGCCAGGATAAACTAGGCTGCACTCCACAGCCAAACAACAACAGCAGAAAAGGATTTGGTGTCAGTGTCCTGGTGCCAGATACCACAGAACATCCCGGAGTTCATGCCCCCGTGGGTCAGAGCTGTTTTAATTACAATGATGGGCACCTAAAGCAGTGTTATGCAGATGGGTTTAATGAAGTGGCCGTTGGGTATATTTCCTCTCTTCCTGCTTTATTTTTATTTTTTTAAAGCTCTTGAATTTTCTAGAACGTCTGAAATTTTTGCTTCTGTTCCACGATGAGCATTAATTTAACTTAATTTTCTGCTGATCACAGCAGTGAAAAATGAAATTTAATAAATCTGAAAGTGAAACGGCACCTTGGTTACTCTGAATTCTCCCTGGACCTTTATTGGGAATATTTTTAGTTGTTTAAAAACAAAAAAAGCAGTGAAAACTGTTTCTGGGCATTATGTATCTGAGTATTTTTAAAGTTTTCAATTTCAAAGAGCCCATGTTATGCTCATAATATAGACTCATAATTTTATTTTGGGGGATCTATTAGAATATGTTTACATAGTGTGTTTTTTTTGTTTGTTTTTTTTACTTAAAACACATACAAATTTTTATATATTATAGATGACATCGTATTTACTCATTCTGCACATTCCTGCAGCTTCTCTTTCCACTGTCTAAACTGTTTCCAGCTACTTGTCCTCTGACAGCTGTCAGGGAGGCCAGTGTGTTAGACAGTAACAGAAGAACCGTATGAGCAACAAACATGTGAACTTTAATCTTAGTAACTTTCCAAACCTTACAAGTTCACACATAAGCTATACAACAGACCTAAAGGAAAGGTGGGGAAAAACAAGAACAACAGGGGCGCTTGAAGCATTTTAGTCCCGGGCTGTTCAGCAGTATATAAAATAATTCATGTCTGAAGAGCAGTTGCTTCTGACTTCAACTCTGTTTCACTTTGTCACATCGTGGAGCTGCTTTGTTTTTTTTTTAAATCAGCTGGACGCTTTAAACATGAAGCAGCTGCTTCTAAGCCCCCTAAACAAACATTTGAAACATTTCTTTATGGTATGAACGCCACAGGTGAAACTCTTTGGTCCTACACAATGTTGGGGTGGAGCCAGAAAGTGGATATTTATCCTCAAGGAGACTTTTTTCTATTATTGAATTAGGCAGAATTGAGCCTTAAAAACAAGGAAAATGCCCTAACAACTATTAGGCTGTACACTGTTAGAGACTGTAAAGATCTGCATTCCTTAATCTTTAATAATAGTGCTAAATTCTTTCCACCTTAAAATGACTCATTCCATGCACATTTCACCTTAATTGCTTAAAAAGGGTTTAAGTAGACATTTAAGAGTTTCTGATGCATCATCATCGCCTCCATCATCGTCGTCATAGTCCTCCTGCTGCTCTTCTTTTTCTGGTTGTGTGTTGCCTCCTGCTCATCAGATCATCAAAGATATTGAACAACCTAACTCCAATCACAGTACTTTTAATAATAACCCATTTTATGTTAGAGTACACTAAGTTTTGTTTATATGGATAACCTTGCTGTCATGGCCTCCAGCTATTTAACAAAACACAAACAAAAAACACAAAACAAGCATTTGTATTTGACAGCTATGGAGCTGCGAGAAAAGGTGTTTTGTTTCTCTTTGGATGAGACACCAGCAGCTAGCCCCTTTTTCCAGTCTTTGTGCAAAGCTAAGCTAAAGCATCCTGTAAAGTCGAGGAGTCTTTGCTTCAAGTGTTTTTGTTTGGGTTTATTTCTTTATGTCGATCATGCTCGAGCAGGTGGAGTCAGCGTGCAAAGTCATGAGATGCTTACGTTCTAGATGACAGAGATTTCTGTAAGTTGTCATGGGGACCGTGATGATGATGTGGATGATGATGTATTGGCAAGTCAGAGGGAAGAGCTTAGTGAGATTTAGCTGCGTTGGCATGTTAGTTTCACTTGTGCAATAATGTAAACATATTTTTGATCATACGGAGCTCATCTGTGGATATCTTGTTGTGATCAATGCAAACCGCATGTCTTAATACAGATAAACCTGAAACTTGCTGCTTTTATTCTGGGAAATTTGAATCTTCTGCTTGATCACAGAAGCATTAATAACCAGTTGGCAAACCTGTTTTCTTTAGCATTAAAGCCTTTGTTTATGTGGTCGCTCAGCTTTCTGCATGTACCATTAGTTATTGATGAATACAAATGTAAATGTGGGAGCTGAATGTGTTTAAGGCATCCACGGCCTAAACATTAGGTTTTATTTTATTTTTAAGTCATGTCGTTGGCTTTATGATCTTGTCGTGATTACTTTGAACTTCCACGCATACTTGCATTAGGACTGAACTTACGTCCTGAAAGCTGATCTTTGTGTGTATGGACGTACGTCCTTTGTCTTTGGAAACAATATATCTAAGGTCCAAGGTGCACTCCCTAGTCATGTGAAGCTTTCAGCAACATTTAGCATCAACATAATCATTGAGCACGTGGCTCAGATGTTGTCATGTGGCATAAATATTTAGTCCAGTCCAAACTGGGATGAATTAAACTGGTATTTGTCCTTTGATTCTCTTCAGACTTTACTGAATTTGTGTTTGCAGAAAACGTTCTCTCTGTGCTCGCTGATGAGAAATCCTTCACACACTTCTAATTCATTTTAATGTCGGACTGTGGGTGTCTACTCATTTCTGTTAATGTCTAATAATGATTATGTGTATTTTGTACTGATGTCTTAAATGGGATGCAAGGAGGGGACACTCTATAGAGATGAGAAAATAAAGATGTATTTATTTTCAGTACAGAGGAGTGGTGTACCGTGTGTTTGTGTGTGGACCTCAGAAGGATCCCATAAATACTCGATATTTAGACAGACAAGCTGAAAATTTGCCTGACAAAGACAATATTTTTGTAATTTTGCCACCAGCACAGTGGATTTGAAAACAAACAATTAAGATGTGATTGAAGTGTAGGAAATCAGCTTTACTTTGGGGATTGTTTTTTAAGATTTGCATAAATTGTTTGGGAATTATGCTTGGGAATTCCAGTTGGAACCAGGCAACTTGTGTTTACTAACACTGTGACTGCTGATAGAAGAAGCAGGATAAATTCTGAAGTGTACAGGGCTAAAACCTGTGCTCAGATTCAGCCAAACTCTATAGACAGCACTTCAGTGTAAATGGATGATGACCCAAAGCATGCTGAAAAAAAAACAAGTTTCTCAGTGGAAAGCAATGGGATATTCTTTAATGCCCAAGTCAGTCACCTGGGCCCTATTTCAGGAAGCCGGTTTAGTGCAAACTCTGAGTAAGTATACCCTGAGTTAACGAAAACTCTGGGTTTTCGGTTTCACAAAGCGAGTTCAGCTGCAGCCTGAGTGAGTCACTATGACGACACACTCCGTGAAGCTAACCTGCCCCCTAGCAGGTTTACTACAACTAACCCTGACCTTCTCCGCCCCTTTGTCGGAAACCTGACAGTAGGAAGTGTCGGACATGGCGTGCTCCTTCCTTGAAGAGCCAGTAGATCGTGAAGCCCAAATTCTCCGCAGAGCTCTCCGCCGGGAGAGAGTGATCAGAGCGCGTTTGGACATTTTATCATTTCCTGATGATGTTCTGTGCGAACGTTACCGTTTCTCAGCACAATCTATAAGTTATTTGGATAACATCCTCAGGCCATATATTACGCATGTGACACATCGCGGACATGCTCTCAGTTCATTACATATTCTTTGTATTGCACTTCGGTTTCTTGCAAACGGGAGCTTTCTGTATAATATTGGTGACGCTGAGCACGTTTCCAAGGCTACCGTCTGTCGGGCAGTCAGGAATGTTACAGTTGCACTGAAACGTCTCCTGTACTCGTCTGTGGTGTTCCCCGGTCATAGACCCACAAGATTTATCAAAGAGGGATGCCACAAAATTGCAGGTAGCAGGATGACCAAAACTTAATTTATGATGTGGTGATACTTGGACTACTACTTAAATTGCACATTTATTTTCAGGGTTCCCAGGCGTGATTGGCTGTACAGATGGCACTCACATTCCAATCATTGCTCCTTCAGTAAATGAAGGAGACTATGTGAACAGGAAGTCTTTCCACAGCATTAATGTACAGGTACATAGTTCCCTGTAGCATTTCAAACTAACAAATTATTTCATTATAGTAATGGATGCTAATTTGTGTTCTCTGCACTGTGAAGATCACATGTGATGCTGCCAACATTATCACAAATGTGGAAGCCAAGTGGCCAGGCTCTGTCCATGACTCACAAATATTCCGTGAATGTACACTGAGCACAAAATTTGGACATGGTGAGTTGAGAATACTGTAAAATATATAAAGACCAATTGCTTCAGGGACATTTGAACTGAAGTGTACCCTTCTGTCTTAGGAGAGTTCACTGGCTACTTGCTTGGTGATAGGGGGTATCCATGTTTACCCTATTTGCTTACCCCCTACTCTGACCCTGAACCGGGCCCACAGCAGCGATATAATCTGGCTAATTGCAGGACAAGAGTCAGAGTTGAAATGACTATCGGAATGCTTAAGGCCCGGTTCCAGTGCCTGCAAAGACTCAGGGTCACCCCAGAAAGGGCATGTGACATTATTGTGGCATGTGTGATTCTTCACAACATTGCCACAATTAGAGGAGAACACTGTCCTTCTGAACCAAACATCAGCAGTGATCCAAACCATGAACATCCTGACCCTCCCACGGACATACAAGATGGAAGCGCAGTCAGAGACACCATATGTCACAATCATTTCTTTTGACCCATCACCTCAACATGTTGAAAGACGAATAAACAGATTTTCTGTTCAACTGGCTTTATTGGTCGCCTGTGTTTCCTGTACACAAAGTATTAAAAGATGTAAACCTCATAAAGTGTCTCTGTTGCTTCCTCCTCTGTAACAGCTGTCAATGTTTCTTCATTATTTTCCTGTACTAAAGAAATAGACAACATTGCTGTTCTACTGTAAACTCATATAATCTGTGGAGTATTACTCACAACTGCATGTTGGTCTGGCTCAACAGGAGGCTGCACCAGATGCAGTACACCACCACCATCAACTGATAGAATATGAGGTTTACACAGGTCACTTATAACTTACAAGGGACCAAATGGCAATTAACAAACATATAGCACTCAGCTTACACTTCATTGTCATTATGCTCTCAAAGACAACCAAGACTGAGGGAAGGCAAAATCAGTAGGAAAATAACTTCACTACAAAATAATTCATTATGGTAAAGAGTTTATCAAATGAATGTGTCGCACTGCAAAGGTGACTGTGAAGAAAGGATGTATGCACATCATGTATTATTTTGAATTTACCCCCTATGTAGGCACTTGTGTCTTGCG